GTTACTGTGAAGCGCTCTGAGACGCTGTATGGCGTGGCGGGTGCTATATAAATCCAAGTTGTTGTTGTTGTAATTCATTGTTTCGAACTTTCTCTTTGAGCGAACTTTCCAAGATAACTATTTTCAGAAGTTGGTGATATTTCATGCGATACCATTTGATACCAAGCTTTCAGATTTAACACTAAGAAGAACAGGTGTGACTACAGAACAGTTTGCTCTTCAAAAGAGTTCATATGAGGTTGCAAACATTTCAAGATTCAATAGGAAAAAAATTATTTCATCTTTCCTCTCTTTGCCACTGTTATATATTGTTAGATGTCAGCCTGGCTAAGTTGGCATCACTCTCACCCTGAGCTAGAAGTTTGTGAGTTAAAGCCCCATTTCTGGACTTGTATAGTCTCGGCTGACACTGTGGTGCAGTGCAGTGTTGGATGTGTGTTGCATTGTTGCATAAGGATAAGACGTTAAACCAAGGTCTCGTCTGCCTGTTCAGGTGAACGTTAAAGATCCTACGGAAATATTCAAAACGAGAAGATAGTTTGGCTCAGGGTCGTAGCCAACAATCCCAAGATAAACACTTTTTAAATACTACACCCGATCAGAACTGCAAACCAGTTGCTTCAATCAGACATTAATGTTCGGAGACCATGGTAGCCTTTAGAAAGGTTGATATAGTTGCCCACTATTCTATTGAAGAAAAGGTAAGAAAATAACTTGAGGTTGTAAATATAACTTTTAAAATAAATAAGCAGCTTCAAGTTGTTGTTTATAAAAAAGCAGTTCAACTAGATTGTGAGAGTTGCCCAAGACGATACATTGTGGTCTAATTTGTGGCTCGTGTTAATCATGTATAAGCACAATGTGTATCCAGCGACATACATGTGCTTTCATTGTCCAATTAGCAATCAACGCTAGTTCAATGCTGACTTCATGACTGTTTATTGGACATTGCTGTGTGCAAATTGGATGCCACAAAGATACACAGTCACTCCACTTTGCAGCAAATCCTATGAAGCTCCTTGAGATGTCCTGCTGGTGTGAACGGTGTTATATCAAATGTAAGGATTAATTTTATTGTTAAGAACTGCTGTAATTCCCTGCGTACATACTACATATGATTAGCACAACTCGTAAATTGACTTTACGCTATTTCTAACATAGAATTCAGCAAAACTATTTAACGCATTCCATTTAAGAAAATTTTTGAAATATGATTTTCATACAATACTATTTTGTGAAGAACATACCGAACAATTCACATGTGAGTTAATATCAAAGCTTGTGTTTATTTTTTCTTCTGCTTTTTATAATTGTGAGGGTGAAGAGTGTTTTCAGTTGTCAAATTCTGTCACTGGTGCACCATTACAAGCCATTAGTTGTCAATCTAACAATGATAACATAATATCCATTTGAACAAAATGTTTACTAAATTCCCTTAACAGTTCAAAAAAACAAGCATTTCACACTTGTTCTACCTTTATACTTTGACAAGTGCTATGACAGTATCCTGCACCTTCATTTTTTGCTCTGTTCAATCATTGGGTTGTCAGGGAAGACCAATTATGTAGCACTTTGGTGCTGCAGAACACAAAAAGTAATAGTGGTTATTACTGCTGCCAATCTCCACCAGCAATTATAGATAATTTGAGGTCTGACTGCCAAAAAGCAAAGCCTAAAAGCACAGATAACAATATAAAGGAAAAGATTTTTCAAAAACAAAAACAATTGATTAATTTCCCTGGAAGTATTTTCACTTATCCAAATTTTGGATAGAAATTTCTGCACTTGGGGTGCTTTAGGGTGTCTTGGGATATCCTCCCGGCATGAAATATCCTATATAAATTTCTATTGTATTGCTGTGTACTGCTGCTATCTGTTTTGTTTATAAACCTTTTTTTTATTAATCCTACTATTCAGCTCTCCCCATATTTCTTCATGTGTTTTTTACTGCTCAGGTGCTTATCCAGTTCCCTTTTGAACATTTCTACTGATGCAGCCTCAACACAGCTAATTGTGGCAATGAATGTTATGCTTGTCAGGACTGCAAACAAATAAAGAAAGAGAAAAAAAGAAGGAAAAAAAGGTAGGCAGGCACTGGCTTGGCATCACTACATTGGGAGCACTGCCTGGCAAGTTTCCTGCAGCCACCTTCCTGTTAGGGCTTTAGCTTGTAGGGTTAACAGGAGCACTGCTTGCCATTGCCAAAGTCCCCTTATCTTCTCTGAGCAAAGCTTAAGAAAGCATTCTCAAATGTTGAGTGAAAAAGAAATATAAACTCACTGGAAACAAAAATGAATTTTTGATAGTGCAGAGTAGGCTACTTGATGCACATTAAATAAATGTGAAGCGGAACAATCTGGGGTCACAAATTATAGTCAGACCACTTTCCAGTATAATAAAAAATAATGCTTCCATTTGATATAGCTCCTTATCACATCTTCTAGACATCACAGCGTTTCACAGAATGTCCTGTAAAGCACATTAAAACATCTCAATGACTTGATGAGGCTATATTAAACACAAGGATTATTATTGTTGTGTGGTTGTCCATTTATAGTTTGTTAACACAGCTCAGTTACTGTTTCAGCCATTTATTTAGCCATTATTTGCTGTACCAGATTGTTACCACAAGAGGAGGCCAGTGTGCTGGTAAATGTTGCAGAAGGTACACCCACACCACCTAGTGGCAAACATAATTAGTAATATAATAATTATAAGATAATAATCCTTATATTTGATATGGTGCCGTATCACGTTGTTGAGACATCTAAAGCGCTTCACAGAATATACAGTAAAGTAAATTGATTGTATATTTTTGTGGGTGGAACGCAGCAGCCAATTGCACACAGCAATGTCCCACAAGATGTCATGGATTGAATGACCACATTTTTTTGGGGGGTGGGGGATTATTACACCCAGAATGAGCAATCCACCAATCAACTAACAACTGGGTTCCTACTTATTGCTAGGTAAACAAAGGTGTGCGGAGTAAGGAAAGTTGCCTAAGGTTTCACTGGGAAACTAACCCAGGTCCTCTCGTTTGCGAGGCGAGTGCTCTAACCACTATGCTACAGGATTCCACCTGTAACAATAAAACTCACTGTTAGGTCATCTTGATTTCTTTGCTGTCTACGGTAGTTTGATATTAGTTAATAAAGGAGTCGATTTTGCAGCAACAATAACTCCCATTTCCCCCCATCCTCTCTGTCACTAAAACCTTCTGCAACCTCCTGCCATGGCTGCTCCCTCCACTCAGCAAACACAGCCTACTTCTCTCTGTTGCCTTCAATACTTCTCCATCGTCCCCCCTCCCTGCTTCACCTCCAGTTCTTCTTTCTTAAAGTAGATAAGTCACCTGGTCCGGACGGGTTACATCCTAGGTTACTGAGGGAAATAAAGGTGGAAATATTGGAGGCTCTGGCCACAATCTTTCAATCCCACGGTATTAAAGGGACAGTGGCAGCATGGATACAGAAATGGCTGGGAGACAGAAAGCAGAGAGTGGTGGTAAGTAGTTGTTTTCTAGACTGGAGGGAAGTGTGCAGTGGTGTCCTCCAGGGGTCGGTATTGGGAACACTGCTGTTTTTAATTTATACAAATGACCTGGACTTGGGTATAGTGAGTACAATTTCCAAGTTTGCAGAAAAGTAGGACTAAGTTAGGAAAAGTAGTGAACAGTGAGGAGGATAGTAGCAGACTGCAAATGGACATAGACTGGTAAAATGGGTTTAACATGGAGAAATGCAAAGTGATGCATTTCGGCAGGAAGCTAGGACTATTCTCCTTGGAGCAGAGAAGATTAAGAGACTTAATAGAAGTTTTCAAAATTATGAGGGGATTCAATAGGTCAAACAAGGAGAAATTATTTCCACTGGCGGGTGGGTCGGTAACCCGAGGACACAGATTTAGAATAGATGTTAAAAGAAACGGGAGGTGAGAATTTTTGTCACACAGCGAATTGTTCAGATCTGGAATATGTTGCCTGGAAGGGTGGTGGAAGCTGATTTGATAACTACTTTTAAGAGAGTAGACAATTATTTGGGAAGGACAAGTTTGCAGAGCCATGGGGAGAGTGGGATTGAATTGGATTGCACTTTTCAAAGAGCCGGCACAGACACGATGGGCCAAATAGTCTCCTTCCTTCTATGCTGTATAATTCTATGATTCTAAGTTTTGCTCTTAGGTATTCCAAAGGCTTCCCTTAATCTTTTCCAATGGGTTCTTCTCACGCTCCCCAAACTATCCAGAACTCTGCAGTCCATATCATCTCCTCTACCAAACTCTATCTTTTGAAGATTTGAGCACTCTGAGACACCCTCTAGTGTGAAGGGCAAAATATAAATGCAAGTTATTGTTGTATTTTCTTTTGTGAAATAACATTAGGGGATATCAATAGGTAGTTCAGGACTTATGTGCATGCAACTGGTGGAAGGAGAACTAGACAGACATTGGCCTTTTTTTCCATCTAGCATATCTTGGGAATCGAACCCGGGTCCTCTCACTTGCGAGGCAATTGCTATAACCAATTCACTACAGGACACTACCTATTTCAAATGTAAGGATTATATTACTCTTCTTCAGTTTGTAAATGATGGTAACTAAACTGTCTTATTGAAGATGATATGAACATCAAATGGTGGTTTCCTTACATGTTCTTACCACCCTCTATACTCATGTTGCAGAAGTCTCTTTCCTCTCTAACGCTTTTATATTCAATGTTCTTTTTGAATATGTGCTTTAGCTTTTTTTTCTACATTATATCTGTCCTGGCATTGCTGATTTAAATCTCACTAATCCAGCTCTATCGTCTTCCCTCATATTTTCAACCACTATTATATCCTACATCCAGTTTCTCACCTGCTCAGCTTTCCCTCAGTGAAGTACTGATATGGTATTACCACCAATTGTTTTCATTCCTAAATTTACAGCATTTATCGCTGTCCACTATACCTTTACACAACAGGAATGATTTCATATTTGGAATTCAGAGTACAAATGGATGTTCATCATTGTCACTTTAATGTACTTTTATAAAGTGATTTTAATCAATTCTTGCAAGCATTTAAACTACAAATGATTTCATTCTGCACATTATACATAGGTAAACTGGCTGTCATCCAATCATGTGAATTTTACAAGTCATTTCATTTAAGACAATTAAAATTTAAAATTTTTACCCCAAAGTAATTCCATTCCAAAAATCTCAAATGTTCCCAACTCAGTCATTCTACTAGAAACAGTGTAGTTACTTCAAACAAAAGTAAAAAAATATTGCTTGGTTTGTAAAAACATCCATGCAGACGTGATTCTAGCATTCAAGAACTAAATACTTGTTTTATCTTACTTGCATATACCCTAAACAAACGATATTCAATGACTGTTCAGGAAGGAAAAAAGAATGCTTTCACAGAAAGCTTTTTCCATTATATCCAGAAAGCATAGGCATTTGCTTCAATGCTAAGCTGAATATCCCATTAATATACAATTAATGGATTAATGTTTGACAAATATTTTCAAGATAGTCCAATGTTTGTAAAAGCTGTCATTAGCAAACAATAATCTTAGTCATTGTGACTCTTCTGATATTTCTTCAAGCGAGTTTGTTCTTTCATCTGAAGAATCACTGTCTGAATCTGTACTGACAGAGTCCAAAGCTAGGGTAACTTTGCCTTGATCGTCCAAAGGAGTAGCTTCTGATACGTAAGCTTGTAAGATCATCGCCAGTCTCTGTATCCCTGTGGTGGGAAAGGTACAATTTATAAACAATTTAATTCAGGTTACATTTTAAGATGCTGTGGCAAGAACGAAATATGCTTCTCATTTCCTCACCCTCCTCCCTCTCACCAATTTTCTCCATTCCCTTCTGCCAAGGTATTTGCTCCTTTTTCCTTCCAATTAGGGTAAAGGTGCATAGACATTCTGCTAACGGACTATTTAATGAGGGGAGGAAAGGGAAAATTACATCTGACCTTAATCCAGTCTTTTAACTTCACACATACTTTCCAGCAGGGGTCAGTAATGATCAAGAACAGGAATCTGGGCTGACTTCCTCCTCAAATGTTGCTCCCAAGCCATTACCTCAGGTGAATGAATACTAAATCGGTCCCAAATGACAGCCCACGGTTGGGTTTTGAATCACCAGTGGAACACAAACAACACCTCCCTATTATGTCTGCTTATGTCCGAACAAAACCAGTACAAAAATCCTTAACAGTATTTTTGAAAGGCAATGTTATATTGCTGCGGGAATGCTAGCAGTTCACATGGACCTCCCATGTTCCATCTCCTGAAAGGAAGAGAGATCCAGCAACCCCTTTCCATTCTGAAGAGCCACTCAGTTGCTGTAGAAATCAATGTTTCCAGTGTTAAAGAATACTATACTAAATCTGGGCTCCAGTATAAACTAAGATTATCTTGCATTATTGTGGAGGCCTGTAGCTCAGAGGTTAGAGCATTCGCCTGACAAGCGAGAGAACTGTGTTCGATTCCCGACAGGACGAAACGGTGGGCAAGTTTCCACGCCTCTGTTTACCTAGCAGTAAGTAGGAACCCATTTGTTGGTCTGGAAACTTCATTCCACGACTGATTGTGGGACACTGCTGTCTGCAATTGGCTGCTGTGTTTCACCCACAAAATATGCAGTCAATTCACTTTACAGTATATTCTGTGAAGTGCTTTGAAATGTCGAAGATGTGATAAGGTGCTATATTAAACGGAAGGATTATTATACTTCTAATATTGTTTATCTAACTGATATATAAAGCTGTGTTCAAAATTACTGAAATCTACTCAAGTCCCACAATCAGCTTGTAGTCAACATTGTAGAATTTGTAGAAATATTTCAAATTAGTTCCAATGAATTACTGCTAAAATACATGTAGGAACAAACAGAGAAAGATACTTCATCTTCATCTGTATGGCGATGGGATCTTTAACGAGCAAAGAACAGGCAGGTGGGAACTCAGTCGAACATCTTATCCAAAGGATGGGACAACACATTAGCTCCATAACTTCCTGACCCAGAAATAAGAATGTTAACTACTATAGAAAAATAGGGCTCAGAAATATTATGAGACTAATTTTTCTCAAAAATACATTAGCATGGCCTAATTGGTTACACTATCACCTCTGAGTCAGAAGGTTGAAGCCCTATGTAGGGACTTTTCAACTCAATTTAAGACTTCAATGCTAGGGGAGCACTGCCTCGTCAAAAGATATCAATCCTTAGAATCAGACGTCTTAAAGATCCCATGATACTACTCAAAAAGTAAAGTGAGTTTCTCCTGATGTTCTGGCCAAGAACCCTCTAGATAAAATTGGTCATTCACTTCACAGCTGCTTGTACACTTCAATGTTGTGCACAATTGGCTGTAACATCTGCCTACAGTTACTATGTTCACAGTAAAATTCTATGAAGGGCTTCTTCCTGTAAAGAGTCACTTTGGAGTTACTTGGCAATGGAATGTCAGAATCAAACCATCGTGGTAGACTTGGCTGTCTGGTTTCTGAGCCAGATGGCTATGCAATACTCTGACAGCCCAGCCAGTCTGGCCCATCGGCAGGACCTAGAGGGGCAGGGATTCTTCCCACTCAGAAACTATTAACCCTGCAAGCCAAAGCCCTAATGGACAGGGAGGTCCTAGCTGGACAGGCAGGAGCAAGCTTGCCAGACAGTGCCTTCAATGGCAAACTATGCAGTTTTAGCTGATTAAATAGTAGTACCCTAGCCCACACTTTGGGATCCCCAAGTCTTGGCTTTGACAGCCAGCACCTAATACTCTGCATCCTGCTTACTCTAATTCTAAAGAGTACATGTGGGATTCCAGACACTGGAATTTCCATATGCAGGTGGAATACACACAACTTAGTCTGGTTTGGAAACTCTTAAGCATGGTGTTGGGTTTTCCACATGCATCAAGACACCCAGCTGACCAGAAAAAAAAACTAATTACGTAGTAAATCTGGGCCCTAGGACCCAGCCCAGTAAATTAGCTTTCAAAATATTGAATCTCTAATTATCCCTTATAATTTAAAAAAAAGCATTTTAATTTTCTTTAAATAGTAATTCTAAAAGGTGGCAATGTATTTTTGAGCGTTACATACCCAAATGTATCTTGTCAGCAGAATCTGAAAACACCAGTCTGAACCACCCAGGCTCACAACAGTAAAAAGCTCCACCAGGGCTGATGTAGAGCTTTTCGGCAATGAATTTCCACCAGAGTTCCATTTCAGCTTCAAAGGTTTGAGTAACCAGGAACTGGAAAGAGTTCAACAAAAATCAGGGCTTCCTGAATACTGAAAAAGTTGACTTTCCAATAGTACAAATAACACAAACAATGGTTATGCATTCATAGATATTCTGAATTCCCCATCAATATGGCTCGTGTGGGCAACAACACTTAATTTTGAGGATGAGATGGGAGAGCTGGATCCGATAAATGGCATGCGGACAGTACAATTTCAGTGTGCCAGTCATGATGTGACACTGCTTCAAGCAGCTCAATAGTACATTGCTCACAATCACCAGATACCAAAAGAATCACCAAGAGATCAAACAATGAACCAGGAGACATTGTTGCCTTTAGACCTAACAGTCAAACAGTCAGATATCAGGGCAAATGTCACTAACATAACTTCCTTACAGTATTCCTTTAATTACTGTACTACTGACACTGCAGGCGACATGTTTCATAAAGCAAGCTCTGAATTACAGAATTACTGGAATGACTGATATCTAGATTACTATCTATCATTCCATTCAAAGTTTTCAAAAATTCAACAGAATCTTACACAACCATATTGTAACACTGTTCCCACCCCCAGTTGGGTGCCCATCCAGCAATCCGAATGTGTCTTTGGGTCACCTTCCCAACATGAAGTGTTATATAAATGTACACTGTATTGTTTCTTAGATTTTAAGTGAATCAAAGCAGTCATTCGTAGCTCGCCAATATAGCCTTTTCCCAATAAAATTATAGTTAGGGCACAAAAGTATAGTTGGGAACAAATGCATTATCTTTTGTTCAGGAGAAAAACAGACCCAATAGACATTACTCACTTCACCTTCCTCTTCAAACATGCCTAGTCACTTACCCCTCTCCCAGCTTGGTGTCAAGCTCTGCCACTTAAGTTCAACCCCACACGAAGGGCAATATATAAATGCAAGGTATTGTTGGGTTCCACAGGCAAACAAAACAAGCATTCAGCTAAAATTTCTTATAAACTTTTAGCCACAATTTGGTTAGTAGGCATAAGCTAATTTTTTGTGGATACGTACTTTTCTAAAATCAGCCCAAACAAATAACCCTGCCGAGCTCCGAAGAACTGGAATTCCAAGTGAAGTCAGACCGTCAACAAGAATGTGACAAGCTTCTCTCAGTCGCCTTCGGTTTGTTGGTAAAAATGTTTTGTTTATCCACTCTGTATACAAGAATAAAGAATTACATACACACGCATATATTCAAACTACCCCCTCCCACCAAAAAAATCCATTGAAGGGATTATTTTCCTTAGAGCACAGAGAAGTTGAGGGGAGATTTAATAGGTGTTCAAAATTATGAAAGGTCTTGATTAAGAGTAGAAAAGGAGAAGCTGTTTCCTCTAGCAGGTGGGTTGGTAACCAGATGACACAGATTTAAGATAATTGGCAAATGAACCAGAGGGGAGACCAGGAGTTTTTTTTTAAACCCAGAGAGTTGTTAGAGTCTGGAATGCACTGCCTGAAAGGGTGATGGAAGCAGATTTGATAATAGCTTTCAAAAGGGAGTTAGATAGGTACTTAAAAAGGAAAAAATGGGCTATGGGGGTAAGAGCAGGGGCGTGGTACTAGTTGATAGCTCTTTCAAAGAGTTGACAAAGCATGATGGATCGAATGGCCTCCTTCTGTGCTGCAAAATTCTATGATTCCAAGGTAATTTTCTAAACTGACCTCGATCAGCAATTAGCTGGCTCAGAATGTATTGAACTGGTCCAGGGCAGCTGTGAAAACTGGCCAATTGGTTAAGTGCCAGGCGGACCTCTTCATTCCTTGTATGCAAAGCTGCAACTCTCATCCCACACATGACAAAATCCTTTACAAAGGGAGGACAAAAAAAGTTTAAATAAAGTTCAGATTTAAAACTGTTACCCATAAACTTACACATGAAACATTATTAGCTTCAACATTTGGATAGTTTTATTGTGTGGAATTCACAACTACATTATCCCACTTACCATTGGTCTTCATTTAAAAGACCAATCAACCAATTGGCCACTGTGGCAAATTTATATAAGTGCATTTAATATAGCACCTGATCATGTATTCGAGATGTCTTAAAGCGTTTCACAGAATATATTGTGAAGTGAATTGACGCTATATTTTGTGGTCGAAACACAGCAGCCGATTGCCACAGCAATATCCCACAAACAGTCATGGATTGAGTGACCAAATTCTTTTTTTGTGGGGGGGGAATTAGAAAGAAAAAAGAGATGGAGGGGATTATTACATCCGGAAAGCAATCCACCAACCGAATAACAATCGCTTCCTACTTACTGCTCGGTAAACAGTAAGGAAACTTGCATAAGATTTTGCCCTGTCCGGGAATCGAACCCTGGTCCTCTTCCTTGCAATATGAGCGTGCTAACCACTATGCTACGGCACTCCACAAAATATAAATATATATTCAGTATAAATAAAACAAATATATATTTGTACTCCAATTATGCACCCTGTTTCCTTATCCATAGGGCAAATAATTGATCACTCCCTATATTAACCCTTGGTGAAAAAGAACTCCAACATACCTTACTAAATCCCCACATAAAGTGAATTTTTTCTGGGTCTGGTGGACTGGAATTAAACAGAAATTAATATGTTCATGTATATAAGAAGACATTTTTCAAGACATCATTGTAATAAGGATTATATGTTAGGAATTTAATAAAAACTGGATTGACAGTTTATCCTTCATTGGACAGTTATAGATTATTATTATAGGACTTGTAAAATTGTAGACTTCAAATACCATCCAAATCAGCGAAAAAACACTACTACACATTTTAATACTTTCCATACTTACTTCAAACTGAGAACACTGGTGAAGGTGCTGTCATCATATACCGACAACATGTAAATCTCATCCACTATGACGTGCAATTTATGTCTACAAAATGAGCAAAAAAATAGAAAAATTAGAGGAATTTCAAAAGTGACACAATACCTAACTATTTTCAAAGTTAACTACATTGCAAAAGTGTGCAACTGCATTGCTTACCCTAAAACTGACACCCTAAAATGCCTCTGTACTCCAGCATCCTCAATAAACACCCAATTGACTTACCAATTTTAATCCATTAAAGGTCTTCTTGGGCTCTCTCACACATCCATGCACATGCACACACATACAGACTCACACACAAACACACACATACGTAACGCAAGATCATGGCATTATAAACGACTAAGATCCTTATACACACACTGAACAACTCTTGCACACAGTCACAGTTTAGTTACCCACTTTTTCCAAGCATCATTCTTTAAAAATAGTTTATGCATCAAAGCAAAATAATGACAGGCAGACAGCTAATATATTTCCGTTAGCCTACTTCACTTGGTCCTGGAGGTTAGTCTTTCTAAGATGGGAGTGATGACATCACCAAGGGAACAGAAATGACAAGAGTCAATCTTTGTAAGGGAGTCAAATTAACATGTACAGTTCTCATCAAATGATTCTGGAAACTTCTCTAAATAATGACTAGCTCTGTACTAATGTTAATTTAGTTCTCCCTCACACTTCAAACTGTTCCTTCAATGAGTTCACCAGCACAATACTAAATTAAAAAACAAAGATGTCCATAATTCTATTTTCCCTTACTTCTTAATATGACTTTTAGAAAAATCCCAGCGTTTCTTTCTAACCTGCCCTAAACAAGCTGAAAATACTCATCAAGAATAAAATATATATATTAAAATACTAGTGCACCTAGTATTTTATTTTCTTCTTAAGGGTAATCACCCTCTATTCGTGTCCCATTTTCTCTCCTGGTTATTTTCAGGCCATGCACCAACTGCAGCCAGAAGGCTGGCTGGGGAACCTGCACTCAGGCTTCCACCAATGCCATGCTGAGCCAGCCACCAGGAGGTATGAGAACAGACGGAGGACACAGCAAAATGCCTTTAAATACATATGCTGTTTTGCCCTGCTGATTGTTAATAAGTCTGGGTATGCTCTAAAGGCTTTGGTAATCACCCTGTTTAAACACCTCTATTGTACTGCACTTCTACTTTACTGCAGTCCTGATCCTGCAGAAATTTGATTTGTAATTAAATTAGACGTTTTTGTCCATGAAGTAGCCAAATTTATAGATCTGGTCTTCCATTAAACACATACTAATCACCCCCACATATCCTGTGCAGTGTAAAATTATGTTCCACATTATTCCTTAAATTGTACCACCTATTGTTTTACACACTGTTTTATTTTCCCATTGCATATCCCAACACCTGACACAGATCAGACAGTAACCTGCTCCCAGGCCCATCTGCACTGCTCCTGAGCCAACTGCTGAAAATTGTGCAAGTCGACTTATTCTCTGATTTTCTCTACATGTAGGGAAACACCCAACAGTCAAGCGAACAGCCTCTGTACAGAAAATCACTGGGGTGAATCTGCAACCCACCGTGACACAGTATGCTGGAACACAACACACTGTACCACCAAGGCAAGCTGAACGTTTCAAGCCAAAATATAAGACATCTTAAAATTCTCTAGAATATATTCCTAATAGAGACCACTCTTATTGAAATTTAAACGTAAATTTGGAGACCTAAATCACCTACAATTTCACATGCAAATATAGTTTGATCAGGACTGCAGGGTGATTACCAAAGTTAATTTCGTATTGAAATTTTCAATATGAAAACATTGCAGCCCAAACAGTGTCGGGACTCAAACCTGTGCGCAAAGTCTAGACACTCTTTCAGTAAGTGTGCAGGGTAAATGTCCCCTAACGGATTGTGAGGGTTGATCAGGATTAAAGCTCTGACTCTGATGCCCTGAAAAAAGAAAAACTGATAGTCGAAGACGCCGAGGATGTGAGAAAGGGGCAGCGAGTCTTCTTTGTCGCCACCCCTTATTAGCAAACAATCACCATCAAATTCTACCATGAACATCTGTAATCCTGTCACAATTAAGCTATTTCAGAAAAAATACAGAGTGCCTGCCCCAGCTAGTTAGAAAAATATCTCCAGCACTTTTTTAAAAAAATGATTCAATTACTCAGACATCTTAGCCTCCAGTAGTTTAAGTCTATCTCCTCCTTGTTTAAAATGTCACTTGTAGATTGTTCAATCTGAAATACTACCTCCCCCCAGCCCAGCAACACAACCTGACCTAAAAAATAAACTAACTAGCTGAGGCACTGCTTATATAATTAGAGCTACCAAAATCACTGTATAAGCAGAAAAATTATTTCCAATACAATTATAGCCTAGTTTGTATGAACATGCCAATCTGAATAAACATTCAATGTGTTTCCAATTTCTTAAATGATCCACCTTGTTCAAAAATTCTAGGAGGAATACAAACTAAACAGGAGTTTCAACATGCATCTAACAGTAACTTGCATTTATATAGTAGCCTTCACTTAGATTAGTATCTCAGAGCCTTTACAATGGCGGGGTTACACATCAAGCAATTGAGAAGGGGGAGGTGACCACAGAAGAGTTAGGAGGGATTTAAAGATAGAGGTGACAAGGAGGAGGGATTGAGGCAGGAAGTTCGAGAATAATGACATAGTGGCTGAAGGCCTTGATGGCCACTATGTCACTATGAATAGGGACATAGTGGCCATCAAGATGCCATGGGCTGTGCAGCAAGGCTTGTGGCAGCAAAGGGGACAGACAGAGGAGAGCCAGGAATGCGCAAGTTAGAAAGACAGGGAGATTCTAGGGCATGAAGGAATTTGTTAGGTAAGGGTGAGGATTTTGAAATGCATCCATTGGGAGCCAGGGAAGCCTGGCAAGAATGTGAGTGGTAGACATGGGAGTTTGGTATGGGTGAGGATGTGGGCAGCATTGTTTTAACGTGCTGAAGCTTGTGAATGGTGGAACTAGGGAGACCAGCAAGGCATGTGTTTGAGAAGTTAAGGTTTAAAACGACAAAGCTGTGGATGAGGGTTTCAGCAACATTTGGGGTGAGGTAGGTTTGGAGGCAGGCAATGTAGCGGAGTTGGAGGAATGCAATCTTGGTCAGAGATCGAATGTGGGTCTATCGTGTCTCTACCAAGACATGGAAATATCTAGTTACAGTGAGTTTTATTTGAAGAAAGCACCAAACTTCTCTCCTCTCCTCCCAAGAGGTCAAGAACACCAAGCGAAAGCAGAAAATGATAATAAACAACGTTATTTGAGATGACTAAAGGATTTGGATCAATTAAAATTCATCTGTTGCCCATCCAATTAGAAACATTGACATTGTAAGGATACATTGTAGGGCATAAGAAGCACAGCAGATTATGGTCACACAACGAAGAGGTGGGTATTAAGAGAGAAAATAAAATATTTCTAGTCATTTAACTAACTCAAAATTAATATTTTGTAGTAGATTACAAAAGCATCTAGCATATGAAAGGTACAGATCATTTTCTTACCACGCCTCAATCCATTACTCTAGCTCAGAGGTTCTCAAACTATGGGGTGTGCCTCCCAGGGAAGGAGCGGATGTGCGTCAGGGGAGGTGCCAGTTGCACACCTCCCAATAGTCCTAGGTTTTGCAGGACTGGCCCCACGTTCTAGCAAAGTCGCTCCCGCGACAACCAAACACCGTGACAATGCTTCCCTCTCCATGCAGCAATCCCAAATTCCACAACTTTGCACAGAGAGGAAATAAGTTCACGCCTCCCACTGATAAGTTAGGACTGATGGAATATTGTACTGACATAATCTATAATTATTTGGTGTTAATATTTCTAAAATGCGTGTGCAGTTTTAGTTACTGTAAGTGTTATTCGTTTTGAACAAAAATGTGAAATAACACAAAAGGTGCTTTATGAAAAAAATTAGTACATTTAAGACGCACTCTTATTATAACTATATTGATCAAAGCCTTTCTACAATATCATTCGTATTCTTTCAAAGTACAGTATAGGATTTTCAGTTCTTTGTGTTGCCTTAGTAAACTATGGGAATGCACAATTTTTTTCTTAGCTTAGGGAGGCTCACTATGACAAAGTTTGAGAACCTTTGCTCGAGCACAATATACACAGCAACATTTAATCTCAAATGTTACTACTTATCAACAGTTTATCATTTATGAAACCGGAAACACAGCTTATATTTGGCCGCAGATACCCAAGATAGTTCAAACTATAATACAACTCTAATGATAGTTTGCCAGTTGCAAAATTTCGAAACGAGTCATTATCTGGAAAACAAAAGTATTTGGTTGAGTTAGTTTCCCCCCTTTCTGCTCTCCTCCTCTCCTGAAGGCACTGACTCGTCACTGGTATACTATTTGATGGGTACTGGAAGTACCTCCTCCAGTACCTCACCCAAACAGCCACCCTTCAAGTGTGAGCCTAGATAGTACAGTGAGCATTGGTGGGCCATTCAACTGTGGAGGTTATCACAGACGAGCCCGATCCTGTCTTCATACAACAACCACACCTTCCAGCAGGGGTTACTGGATAACAATCAGGAGAGGGAACCCAGGCTGATATTTTTTTCTCCCCGCCCTTACCCAGGGTTTTGAGGTCAATAGTAGCTTCCCAACTGCTGCCCCGGCTGAGATCAGGAAACTCAGCACAAATCAGAAATCAAACACGTGACTTTCTGGTTTGTATAGCTTAGTGCTGCATTAAGCAGTGTCATTAGCCACTGAGCCATCAGAGAAATGATCACATTTTATATTTCAATCCCCAGTGAAATAAAACTCCCACCATTAAAAAGGACAAATTTCAAATAATGTAACTTAACACTTTAAAAATAATCTCTATAATCATTTTGCAAATGTAACATTACTAATTATCCAATATAGTTAGAGTGAAAAATAGAATGTTCATGCATTACAGAAATATTTAGGGGAAAAAAACAAATTTCAACTATGCTCTGTTTTTTTTACTCTTAAAAAATGCTGCAATAACACTTGAGTATTAAAAATTAAGTCATTGTAACATTGTTGCACTTTTTTAAACAATTGTCAAACATCAGCACAACGATCTATTCATCACATCTGCAGAAACCCAACACGATTCAGATAGATTGTGTGTGTGGTTTTTTTTAAAAAAGGAGGAATCTTCCCCCACTCCCCACTCAAAATGTGTATTCTTTTATCTAAGGCGGATACTTAACAGGTTCACCTAGGTCATACTTGCTGAAGAAAATTATTGCAATAAGGTTCCACAATTAAAATGTTTACTTTTAAAGCAAACAGGCTTGGTACAGGTGCTTGAAACTTAAATCAAAAGCAACAATTTAAGTCCTTTCTTTCTACTGAAAAAGTGTTTTAATCCTTTATTTTCAAGAGGGTAAACATATACTGTTAAAGTAGTCAATTGCTGCAGTCGTATTAAACTAAACTAAACCCTGTTCAATAAAATAATAATAATAAATAAAATGGAACGGTTTATGTAAAAGTCACCTGTCTCCATCACCCCTATTGACATTTTAAATCCCTTTTCGGGTACAGTTTTATACAGACACTGGTCACAATCCAGTATGTAACCTAAGGGGGATCCCATCACATCTCACCGATGCCCATAAGGGGACCAGACAGGCGACGTGGGGCAGTACCTATTCCACCACAAACTTGTTCTTAGAGAATATATTTTTGGTATTTGTCAAATCCCAAATAATGCAACAAATTACAATAGAATAAAATTTACATTTATCCAGTGCCTTTATTGTTGGGATGATGTGAAATGAAATCTGATTTGATCAAAGAGAGTTTGTGGTATTTCTTAACAGGTACTTGTTAGATTGCCTACTGCCTGCAGGAATGTAGAACATTTTGCAACATGGGTTGATAGGATATGCTTCAAGTTATCTGAAGGTAACTATTTGAATGCTGACTATTTTAAATCCCCCAAATTCCAGAAATTATAATACAAAAACATTTATATAGCACTTTTTTTGTCAGGATGATATAAAATGAAACCCCATTTGATCAAAGGCAGTTTTTTCTAATATTAACTATACAAACAGAAGGCAGTTATATCAGTACAGTAACTTGGACATTCAAACCTCACATTGTATAGTTCTTAATATACTGATTAAACAAGTTGCTTTTGATTTAAACAAACTTGTACTTCAAGGACATGGAATTGTTAAAAAAAAGTTACTCAGTTTCTTTCAGCAGGTTGGAAAAATCTGGATCCATTTTTGTAACCAAGATGCTCAGAAACAATTTAATTCTACAAACAATCTTTCAGAAATGCTTCGCAAGAAAAACATAAAAAACAAAAATTTCCTGGTTTGCAGAAGAATACTTCCAATCAAAGAAAAACCTAGCATAAAAATAAAAGTTAAAAATGATTTAAAGTCATTCACCAAAATGAAAAACCAAAAATGTATGCACAATTACAAAACGGCATAAACTGACATCAGCATTCTACTGTATGCATATTGCTTATCAAAATCACTTCTTTTAATCCAAAATGCTAGTGCGTATTCCTACAATAACTCTCATCAAATGGATTCTTACCACCAGCTTTAAATATAAATGAGTTCTGTTCTGTGAAATTTGTACCATCACTGCAGAAATTTACTTCAAAAGTCATGTTCTCACTCTCCCTTTCTTTTTTGGAAGATTTGTAGTCAACAACTCATAAAAGCAACAATTGCATACATCTAAAACAGGGCTGAACACTGCACCTAGTTCACATAGCAAAAGCATGACAGGTACTTTATTTTTTCTACCAGTTTAGCCAGTTGGATTGGATGTAGTCTATTTAATCACAAGAATTAATAGAACCAAATGTAAGATGCAGTTAAGCGATAGTTGGTGCACAGCTAATAAACAGCTGAATGAAATTTTGTACTTTGAGTGTCTCCTAAAAGTAATGAATTTTTTTTCCCCACTGGAAACAATAATAATCATGTCTTCGAGACATCTCAAAGCACTTCACAGAATATACTGTAAAGTGGATTGACTGTGCACTTTGTGGGCGAAACGCAGCAGCTGAATTAAGGATATATAAGCCCAAGTAGCTAACATGCTATTTATAGAATAAAATAAACAGATGTGTATAAAATAAACAAGTCTGTTTAGTCTCTGTAGCCAGGGGAATGCTGTAGGAGATCTAAGGAGGGGAGAATAAAAAAATCATTTAAATGGGAGGGTGGAATAGGGCGTTTTTATTCCCTAGTTTGTTTTAAAATAATGTTGGGGTTAGCTCTTCATGACCTAGCAAATCAAGTAAGTTTCCTGTTGATTGTTAAAATATTAAAAATAACTTATAAAAAGTATTTAAAATGTCAACTTCCTCACATACTTTATAAACGTAAGGGTGTACAAGTTTATGGAGAGTTGGTTTTGTCACATTTCAGATGGACCAACATGCAATTAATAGCACAATTGCTTTTCACGGGCTTATAAGTAGCATGCGTAAATTTTAATTACTTTAGAGAATGCAATCTGCCTGCAAAAGCTTAAAAATTAGTCTTTGTATGAGATCCACTTAGACGGAAGATGAACAGAATAGGGGTTGTTGCAATTTTAATACATACAATGGTAATATCACAGCTCAAACTCTCAGCCCTGTTTCAATGGCAATTGTGCTGATACCAACAATGCTTGTATGGCAATTGATTGAACTGTATAATCCATCTTCTTAAGATCATACTGCTTTACTTCATTATGCAACTGTAACCATGAAGCATCACTGGCATAAAAACACAAGTGAGTTTAAGCATTGCAAAGCATACCTGCTCCATGGCATTCTGCAATGCAGCTTCCAGTTTTTTCACTGTTAACTGAAAGGGACAACTTTCAGCTTCTGACACCTAGAAATTCAAAATTGAATTGGTTAAGAAAAAAATGCCACATATCCAAACAGTTGATTCAGAGATATAGTATTGAACATTTCTATTTACATACCTTACTATCCAAGGGTACGTGTACAGGCCGAACTTCCCCGTATAGCCACATGTCAGGATTCACACCACCAAAATATGGAGTTGGAATAAGGTAACCATCTTTTTAAAGGAAAGGGAAAACATCTGGCATTATTGGGAGTCAAAAATTAAAATAAGTGAAGCAAATTAAAAATAATCATTACATTTACCTCCAGGATCAAATAAAACAGTAGAAAGTGCAGCAAAGATGGAACAACATCCATTCATGACTACAATCTAGAAAAGGCAAAATGTTTGAAGTCAATACCATCAGTGAAAAGTTTGTTCATTTTTTTTTAATCCCCTTTCACAACCCCCACCCTCAGTCACCACTGAACACCTAGCTTCAAAGGCTAAAACTCTCTGAGGAAACGTTTGGCACGATCAGTACCAATACTCTAGTGCCTGTTCTGGAATGGAACAACTAGCTTCTGCTCAGTGCTCTATCTAGTGACCCAGGAGATATAACAAAGCTCCCACAATGATGGGAAATTCAAGAGGCAAGTGCTCCTGAGCCTTAAATTCATGACCACAGGCCTCTTTACATATAAATTCCAATAAATCGCCCCAAGCCAACCAAATGATCTCCAACACCTAAATTAATTAAGTAATGATCCTCATTAGTTGGCGTCACTTTTATGATCACTTATAACCATCTGCAACAATACCATTGCCTTTCACTACTACTTAATTGTTCTGAACAGTTCTATGGTCTATTCTACTCATACAAACAGGACACTGAAAAACAAGACACCAGCTTCTGAGCTACAAAGATAAAAGCAGAATAGACCATATTTCTACGAGTTAAAAGCAACTTGCGAGAAATAAGTCTTTGCTTAGCCTTGTTCCTTCAATTTGTATCGAAGGAATTCACCTGCATTTAAAAAAACTGGTTGGAAAAATAAGCTGTAAATTGTATTGTATTTCAGATCATCAACACAAATCTCTTAGCTACCACTTTATACCACAATATGTTGAACACTAAAAGAGTGGAGGAAAAAAAACTAAGTCTATGTCTCCAACCTGCTTCCCTTTTACTTCAATGATTTTTGTCACTTTAATCGGCATCAAGTAAACATTTAGGCCAAAGTAGTTATTCATTCCAAAAAAAGTACACCCTGAAAGGGTAATTAAATACAAAAAGCAAATTCAAGCTCCTTACATGCTCTGGATTCAATGCCTTTGGAGCTCTGGCATATTCAGTGAGAAACTTGGCAATTTCTTCTCTGAAACTAAAACGCAGTTAATGTAGAAAACAAAAAGCACCTTGTCAACTTGCATTAAACATACATTAAGTCAAGCTAAGTGTGGGGAAAAAAAAGTTACCTGAAAACCTCTAAAAACCCAATGTTATACTTAATATGCTAACAAAAATCATTTTAAAGAAACATACACTGAAATGTTGCTAGTGTACACATCTTGAAGATAAGAAGTGCTCAAGTCTCAGATAGTTACGTTTAGTCAATGTCAAACATAATGTCTTCGATTCTTCATGGCTCACAACCCTTAACAGAACCACCCACTTGAGCAAAACTGAGTTCCTATTTGAGGACAATTGTACAATTTAATAAACTGAAATAGCTTGCTTAATTTATTTTATGTGTTTCCACACTTAACAGACATAACATTTGGATAATTATTGCCCCACGGGCACAAAACGTGTATGAAAACTCAACATAAATCCAGATGTTATGCTTTTTACCACTGGTATGTTATGAATGTCTCAATTTAGTAGACACAGCAAATAGCTATCACTGTATTTGCTTATTTCATTTAAGATTGGAAGAATTTTCTAAATCTGCCAAGTGAAGTTAATAATAATCCTTGCATTTGAATATAGCCTTATGTTGTTGAGACATCTCAAAGCACTTCACACAATATACTGTAAAGTGAATTGATTGTATATTTTGTGGGTGAAATACAGCAGCCAAATGTGCCCAGCAATGTCCCACAACAGTCATGGAATGACTGTTCCTTTTTTTAAGGAACTAGGACAATAGGAAACGAAAATTAGAACAGGGAACAAGGACTACTGAAGAGAAACTACTAATGATTTTCAACTTATTTGAACAGAAAGCAATTCCTATCCAGTTATAATCTACGATAGCCAATATTAAACCAAGGCGCTCTTTCTCACATCAGTTGTAAATCTTAAATTCGAATCAAAATGCTCTATATGGGCAAAATAACCAGTGAACATTAGACACATCGCGTTTGCCAACATCGGCCACTAATGGGATTTCCCATTACATTTATGCTATGTTAAAGGTTTAAGACAGGTCTTCATGTATAGGACCTTGGCAAAGATGTACCAGCCTTGAATGTGATTCTACTCGGATGTTCAGTGACAAAGCAGTGTAATAATCCTAATCCTTGCATTTGATATAACGCTGTTCACGTCTTCTAGACGTCTCAAATCACTTCACAGAATATACTGTGAAGTGAATTGACTGTATATTTGTGGGCAAAACACGGCAACTAATTGCGCACAGTAGTGTCCCACAAACAGTCGTGGATTGAGTGACCAAATTATTATTTATTTTCTTGAGGGATTATTATCAGGCGTGTGGAGTAACAAAACTTTCTATGGTTTCGCCCTGCCGGGAAACGAACCCAGGTATCTCGCTTTCGAGGTGAGTGCTCTAACCACTGGTCTCCAGTGTACACCAGAGCATTGATCTGTCACTAATATTTACCCCATGATTTCCCAATTTATCATTTCTTTGTTGGCTATCCAGCCATGATTAAAGGAGGGCACAAACAGTCCATGGAACAAGAATCATTGGAAAGTGGATTATATCAATCTAGAGCACAATTCTGAATTATCTATATATATGAAGGTTTTCTGGCGCTTTGTGTTTCTTTGTACAACTTACATTTGTTAGGTCCTATAAAAATATAAATAGATCTCTAAGAGCTAATCCAGTTTCAAAGTAAATAAGGGTAAAGAAAATATTTTTCTTTAAAACACAGAACAATCTTGTGCTAACACATGCCAATTGCTCTCCTTACCTCTCAGTGCCTTGAACATTGGAATACTGTAACAAATGAGGAGCAATGCACTTCTTACAAGAAGGTCTGGTGAGCTTTAAAATAAACAAAGACCATCGTGTTCACAAACAAGCATCAGAAAAATGTTGCAAAATTAAGTGTTTTTTTAAACAAAAGCATCTATTGCATTACAAAATTGTCACTGAGAAAATTGGCTAATTTCAATTTTTAAAAATGATGTATTATATCACATCTTCTCTTAAGAAAAGCCATTGAATTCATGTGTTAATGCAACAAAATCCAAAGCTGGAAGTCAGTGATCTTTTAAGAATCAGACCTCACACCCCTCATTATCTCAAAAATATTGTAGGATTTTTTATGGCCTTTTTATATACTCACCCGTTTTTCTATCAAATCAAAACACAGTTTGTTCTCGCTGGTTCCCAAATTCAAAACGCCCTGGAGGATACCAGAAGAATTATTTATTAGAATCTTACTTGCAAATCCAACTGTACCCTGCAATCCCATTCAAAAATCAGAAACTTACAAGGTGGCCATTTGGCACATCATGTCCAGGCTCACTCTTTTAAAAACATCTCCTTTCAATCCTATTTATCTGCCCCCGGTCTCCCCCCCACCTCCCGCCCCCAATCTCTCTCTCTCCCTCCCCCCCGCCCCCAATCTCTCCCCTCCCCCCCATCTCTCCCCCTCCCCCCCCCCCATCTCTCCCCCTCCCCCCCCATCTCTCCCCCCCCCCATCTCTCCCGCTACCATCTCTCTCCCCCTCCCCCCCATCTCTCTCCCCCTCCCCATCTCTCTCCCCCTCCCCCCCATCTCTCTCCCCTCCCCCCCTCTCTCCCCCCCCATCTCTCCTCCCCTCCCCCCCATCTCTCTCCTCCCTCCCCCCCCAATCTCTCTCTCCTCCCTCCCCCGGCCCACCATCTCTCTCCCCTCCCCCTCCCCCCATCTCTCTCCCTCCCCCCCATCTCTCTCCCCTCCCCCCCCATCTCTCTCCCCTCCCCCCCCCCATCTCTCCCCTCCCCCCATCTCTCCCCCTCCCCCCCATCTCTCCCCCCTCCCCCATCTCTCCCCCCTCCCCCCCATCTCTCTCCCCCTCTCCCCCCCATCTCTCTCCCCCCTCCCCCCATCTCTCTCCCCCCTCCCCCCCATCTCTCTCCCTCCCCCCTCCCCCCCCATCTCTCCCTCCCTCCCCCCCATCTCTCCCCTCCCCTCCCCCTCCCCCAATCTCTCCCCCTCCCCCCCCCAATCTCTCCCCCCTCCCTCCCCCCAATCTCTCCCCCTCCCCCCAATCTCTCCCCTCCCCCCCAATCTCTCTCCCCCCCTCCCCCCCCCAATCTCTCCCCCCTCCCCCCCCAATCTCTCCCCCCCCCCCAATCTCTCCCTCCCCCCCCATCTCTCCCCCCTCCCCCACCATCTCTCCCCTCCCCCCCATCTCTCTCCCCCTCCCCCCCCCAATCTCTCCCCCCCCCATCTCTCCCCCTCCCCCACCATCTCTCCCCCTCCCCCACCATCTCTCCCCCTCCCCCACCATCTCTCTCCCCTCCCCCCCCAATCTCTCTCCCCCTCCCCCCCAATCTCTCCCCCCCAATCTCTCCCCCTCCCCCATCTCCCCCTCCCCCCAATCTCTCCCCCTCCCCCCCCATCTCCCCCCCCCCCAATCTCTCCCCCTCCCCCCCCATCTCCCCCTCCCCCCCCAATCTCTCCCCCTCCCCCCCCAGTCTCCCCCTCCCCCCCAGTCTCTCCCCCAGTCTCCCCCTCCCCCCCCGCAGTCTGTCTCTGACCTGCGGGTTGCTGAGCTCCTCATACGGGTCCCTGGTGTACATGGCGAAGCCCCTGGCCAGGAGGCCCTGGTTGGCGGCGATGCGGGCCCCGCGGGCGGACACCAACCTCTCGGCCGACATGGTCACAGGCGGAAGAACCGAAAACCGATTAAAATCGCTGACTCGCGACGACGGCCAACCCCCGCTCCGTGACGTACTTCCGGTCCGTCGTCACGTGGAGGAAGGCGGGAGGAAAGATCCCGCTCCGTGATTGGTCTGTCACTGAGATTGACATCTGTCACTGGCTCCGCCTCGGTCCTTCCTGTTTGGAAACCAGAGGACACGCCCCCCCGGGGGGGGGAGGGGAGGGGAGGCAGGAATGAGGGGGAGGGGGGGACATTAATTTGGTTCTGCATTTTGTTCTTGTATCTATGTATCTATGGCCCCTGCATTAATGTGCAGTTATTATATTGGCAGTGTAATAAAAAAAAGTAGTGCCTCCGTCACATTGGTGGTGCAAAGCGTTTTGTCGTGTTTTCTTGTGAGGCGGGTGTGGAAGCCGCAGCCTCCCACAAACTGCCACGGCATGAATGACCAGTCTTATCTGGAGGGGTTTTCACGTCATCTTAACCCCTCCCCCTCTGGACTTCCTCCCGCAACCTGGGAGGCCGAGGACAACCCCGGGCTCCTTTTCTCCCATCGCCAACCGTCTCCTCCACCCACCCTCTCACGCCTCCCCCATCCTCTCCAAGGCCGATTGCAAGAAGATGCTGGACTTCCTCGAAAGCAAAGTCGGGGGGATTCGCTCAGCTGTCTCTGCCCTTCCGACTACTAACCCCACCCCATCTCACCCCAGCTCTTACCCATTCATCCCTCTACACCTTCAAACCTGTCTCCCACTCTCTCACCACCATTATAGCCCACATGAAACCGACCACCTGCTCCCTCGATCCCATACCTTCCCATCTCCTTACCTCCCAGCTCCATCTCCTTGCCTCCCTACTCACAGACATTGTAAACCTCTCCCTGTCCAATGACACCGTTCCCACCACTTTAAAAACAGCCATCATCACTCCTATCCTTAAAATAAACTCCCTGGACTCATCCCTACTCTCATCTCCAACCTCCCTTTCCTTTCCAAGGTCCTGGAACAAGTCATTGCTTCCCAGCTTCACTCCTTCCTCTCCATGAACCCCTCCAATCAGGTTTGCTGGTTTCACTTTTACCTGTCCTAACATTTTCACTACATCTCCTGTAACAGTTTCTCTTTAGTTCATTGGGACACCCTCCCGATGTGAAAGGCGCAATTTGCTGTTGTTCTCCTGCTCAGCTCACAACAACGGACTCCTCACTAATCCATAGGCACCAATCACAACCTTCCTGGTTGTTCTCTCCAACTCACAGAGAACTTTGTGAAATCTCATCACTTTTGTCAACCTGTAACTCTCTCTTAACTTTTCATCCAGACTTTGACCAAGTTTACTTTCCAACATCGTCCCCTCACTCCAAGAATGAGTGACTAATCTATCCACCTCTCAAATAGTTGTGGGAAAGAGTACTAAAGGGATTTCTGGTAGTCTGTTTTAATGTTTAGCCTCACTCCAAAAAAAAATCAGATTGTGTGGTTTGCAGTGTTTGTTTTTTGTCCATTTGGAGTTTCAATGAGCAAAATGACAATATTTAAATATTGAATATATTTGAATTTAAATTAATCTGACGTTTTCTTGTTTAAGCACAGAGATCAAGAAAACAATAGAATTGATATTTATCCTTATTAAAAAGTGGAAACGCGTTTAACATATTGGAACAGAATTTATTTTTTGAAGTGGCTTATGTCCAAAACGGTTGAATGTCTTATCTGAAGGTTGGCACTTCCAACAATGCAGTACTCCCCCAACAGTGCATTGAAGTGTCAGCCTAGATTAGAAGAGTATAAAGTCCTGTCATGGGTCTTGAATGCACAACCTCCTTACTCAGACTCAAGAGTGGAGAGTGCTACCAACTCAGTCAGGCTGACCCAATTTATAATGTTATAAAATACAGAACCCTCGCCAATAATGGTTTGCACCTGCACTCTGCCTTCAAACCCTCTTGAAAGCCTTTCCTTTTGATCAATGTAAGCTCTCCCCTCCTTCCCTCCCTGCCATCACTCTGAATTTATCGTCTTGGGAAGTGCTTTCAGACAGTAATCATGCATGGACAGTAATCCACTATTTAAGTGTAAATTATTGTTGTTAGTCCAACATCTAACTGCAGATAATTTAAATGTACAGCAGCATGCATGCTGGAAAACATGAGATCCAGTTAAATTACATTACTCAGATAATTTAAAAATGAATCATCTATAATAATAATCCTTGCATGTGATATAGCATCTGATCACATCTTTGAAATATCTCAAAGTGCTTCATAGAATATACCGTGACGTCAATTGACTATATTTTGTGGGCAAAACACGGCAACCAATTATGCACAGCAGTATCCCACAAACAGTCGTGGATTGAAGTGACTAATTTATTATTATTTTAAAGACAATATTTCATAACAATAAAATGTAACAAATGTATCATGTATAAGTCAGCCTTGTTGCTATTTCTAATTTGAGCTATAAACAATACAAACTCATCATACTAATGTTCAATTTATTATTTTATCTGCACACATTAGACAGTTTTAATATGCTTAGGGCTATAGAAAATTTTCGTCGTAACAAGGTATTGATGCTTAGAAATTTAAATTGTAGTCGAAAATGCAGATTCAGATTCAATTTAACAGGAATATTCCCTAATGTCCTGCTATACACATGCACACAATTCTTCAGTGAAAGAATATTCTAAGCCACACTAAGAATAGATTTTGGCTTTCCTCCACTTCCAAAGCTCAGCAGTGCCTCAAGTAAACAGTCCACATTTATATTTGCGTTCCAACCTATGTAATCTTGATCNTTTTTTTACCAGTGCAATGCCTTCCACAAATCCTTAGCGAGATCAATTGTCAATTTTGTGATTCATCCAAAATAATTTTTAAAACAATTTTCATAGGTAAGTAATGACGGTTTCTACACCTGTTAACTCAATTCTCAATTCTAAAGATTCGCTATCAATATTGAATAAAGCATAACAGCCCCCTAAAGCCCTAAACACCACATTTGTTGCACCTACTTCATCAGCAGACAATGAAGCTGCTGTCCCATGCAAATAAATCATCCCAAATCATCAGATCATCTCCATTAATCAAGTTTCTATTAATGGTTATCAATTGTTTTATTTAAGGCAAATTTACTAATGTTATTCAATTTAAAATTTCCATTTCATAGTATGGTGCAAAAATTGTTTAAGAAAAATTGAAAAAAATTCTCTTCTTCACCATTAACATCTTTGCCCTCTGGTAAAGAGAATCGGCCGAAGAACAAAATGTTCTTGGTTTTGTTGTGCCGGATGAAAAACAGAAAGGGATGGTCAGCTACAATTTCAGGTGTCAACGAACGAGTTGTTATAATAATTCCTGTGGCAGCTGCTGCTTCCGTGCCCTCTTCATTAACTTCCACAAAAGATTTGTGAACAACCTTTGACAAAACCAGATCATTTGTTTCTGTCATTCCAGAGAAATCAGCTTTCGAATTGTTGAAAGCATCAGCCATTCCCATTGCTGAAAGTGTGGATTTCAGGTCAAATTGGTCTTCCAGCTTAAATTTGGGTAGATGGATTTTGACTTTCTTTTGTTTCATGTTCTCCCATTTGGTCCAATTAAGCAACTTTTCACATGTGAGCACTTCCTCAAGCTGTTGGCAAGGAAAAAAATGGATCAGTGAATCAATAACTTGTTTGCTTGCAGGATGATATACTATGAGCTTTGATCAGAACGCTTTACTGTGATGGGAAATAGGTACAGTATTTTCCATAAAGTAAGTTCTCTCCCATCACCTTTCCAAATGTTTTCCTTTCCTGCAAAATGTAAAGTCAGATTAATCTATATCAATATTTGATGATCTTTGTTCCATTCGCATGAGTGATCCCTCAGTTTTCTCAGATAGGATGCAGAGCAAAAAGGATGGTTGGATAGAGGATCTCAAAAACTTTGCATCTCATTCATTTCTCCTTGCATGTTCATTTGAACATAAACATGCCTACTTTCCTCAATTTAGCGGATTCAACCAGGTCCACAAGAGGACCCCTAACAATCCACCACCACCTTTAGAGATACGGGTTATGATGGAACTTTTATATTTTGTTTAACCCTGAAATAGCATTCGTAATGTACCACAAATATTCAGGTTAACTTACTGCCTCCCTAACTCAGAGGCCTTGATCGCTCCTGTAATCAAGTTCAACTGATCTCATACCTGGGACCTTCTGGTCTGAGCAGAGCCTTTCCCACTAGGCCTTTGGGGAGTTTATCTTTCTTTACTTACTTTACTACCATTTATTTGGAAGCCCTAATCTGCCAAAGTGAAAGCTCTGCATTTCCAAAATTTAGAATGTTCATCCATCCACACATCTCTATTTTCTATATAATTCATACTTACATGACCCTCCAGACTTTTCCCAGCATAGAAACCCTTACAACATTGGAATATTTGATCATCTCAGTGTAATTCATTACTACTACTTCACAGTCCTGTTGATTACTATACATTTCTATAATAAATTCCCTGTTTCTCTGACGTTGCTCTTTAAATTACCTTTTCCAGTCCAGTGGAGTTGTCATTGATGTCATCAGGTAACAGGATGACCATACTCAGCTCATTCTCATAGTACGGAAGCTCAACAATACTGGTTTGAAGCTCACTGATATAAGCAATGTAGAAGTATCCTTCTTGGTACATCATATTCACTGTCTTTGACTTCGACTGTGAACAAATATAAGAATTAACATGAATATTGTATTGACAGAATGGGAAAAATGTCAGACTTGAGATTTGAAACCAAAGTGAAATACCTTGCTCAATCTGAAGGGTTTCTTGTACGTATCATTCTCTTGAAATTTTTGTTCCCAGCTGCCTTTAAAGTAGACAGCATTTACAAGCACAAGTTTGGTGAGATCAGTTATAGTGCCCGGGGAGAGCAGGTTTGAGATTTTACCTGAATGAAATCACACACCAATGAGTTTGTACGATTTCAGAACATGGAACAATGGTGTTTGAAACACAAAGTAATTTCATTTTTACATTTTTTAACATTTTTATTGCATTATCAAGAAGCCAGTAATCTGTGATCACCTTCATGAGCTCCTGTTTTTCTAACGTTAATATTTTATACACAAATATTTTGATGTTATAGAGGGGCTGTTTGGTGCATATGCATTGTACAGTTTGGGGTACAAAAAAATAGAAATGGGTCCTGGTCTTAGAGTACAGATTCACCAGATTAATACTTGGACTTAAGGGTCTCAGTAATGAAGACAGAATTAACAAACTGGGCTGTACTCCCTTCAACAGAGGAGATTGAAGGGTGATCCAATCAAGGTCTTTAAGGTGGTAAAATGAATTGACTAAGTGGATAAGGAGAGATCCTTTCCAATGGTTTCATAACAAGAGGCCCGAAAGGGGTGGATAGAGCATATATTGGATTATGAAAGATGTGCAAAATTGAAGAACAAATGATCATATGTTCACAATAAGGAAACAAAAATAACATAAGAATATCAGGAGCCCTTTGATTATTAAAAATATGATTGGCTGGTGCAACAAATTATCATCACTGGATCTCTGGTAGAGGAATAAAATTGTTACATAAAGGAATTAGACAAGATCCTGTTAACTAAAATGATTCAGGATCAGAAACTCAGTAAAATTTATATATTACAAATATATTTAGATGTTTGTTTTCCTAGGTCAATCATGTACATAGAGTGACTGCATTGCAATACGGAATATCTTACCCTCAGTCTTGGTCTCTACCCAAGAATTAATGTTTTTCCTAGCCACATCTGGCTGATTTGCAAAGTCAACAGCAGATAGAGCTGCCTGATAGAATTCTGCGGTTGAACTGAGGAATTCCTGAACAAAAACATAAATGTTCAGAATCACTTCAAATATACCAGGTAAAAAAAATTACTTAAGTAACAAAGACATAAGACACATGTACATGCAATAATTCGCACTGCGCTATAATATAATATATGTAACATATCAATTTTACTGAGTTTCTGTTAATCAGTAGAAAAATAAGAACATTTCAGGCAGGAATAGACTATCAGTCCATTCAGCTATCCATCCAATTTCCCAAAAGATTCCTCTCCTATATCTATCTTTAATTTGAATAATCCTGAATCCTAAAATATAGTTAGTTTGTATTTTAAAAAATAACTAAAATTATATCTACATATGTATACATGATCTGTTTGTGATGTGCTGCTAAAATTTAATTTGAAGTAAACATTTCTCCAATTTTTGGCAAAATTAATTATCTTGATTAATATTAAGCCTCATTTTTTGCAACTGTTACAACTAATAGCTGCATACAATGCAACTATTCAAAATAGTTTTCCATGTTGCATTCCTAAACTCAAGTAAACTTTATGTATCAGTTTGGTTTCTACACAAATATAGTCAATTTGAAACTGTTATTTCTCTTTCACATTGTGGATCCTTTATTGGGAGCCTAATCCCTGAAAAGAAATAATCCTCTGTGAATATAGAAATGATCAGAGTATATAATGGCTGAAGGCGTATCCACTGATGGTGGGAAGGGAGTGAGGAATGAGCTGTCAACCAGAAGGGTTAATTCAAGAACTCAATGGACCCTTTGAGCAATATTTACTGATGGGTGGAATTTCAAACCAGAGGAACTGGTTGAACATAAGTATTTCCCTTTTCTAAAATGACAGGACAGATAAAATCAGTACTGATTTACATAAATGCTCATGGTACTCCTTTTTACATTTTCATTTCAATGTATATATTTGTGGGAGTTCACCCCCAAAATACAATCACTCGACTTTACAGTATATCCTGTGACGTGCTTTGAGACATCCTCCTGACATGAGAGGTGCTATATTAAATGTAAGAATTATTATTATTATTATATTTATTACATTCTATTTTTTGTTTTGTGACTATTATATTTAAGCTCCTATTGTATCCATTGCAGGTGACTGTTTCTCATCCACCTGATCTTACTTGGAGTATTGTGTATCCCTTGTCTCGATAGAGACTATTGGCCAGTTTCAGAAGATAGGAAGTGCCAGGTTTGTTGATGTCGGACATCAGGGTCTTGAATCTTGTGTGGACATCATCTGCTGTATCAAAGTGTAGCACCTGTTACACACAACAATTAAAGTAGTAATAATGAAGCAGGGTTAGTACTTTGAAGGTTTCCAATAGTTACCTCATGTACTAACAAATTTCTGTGTTAGACTGACAGGATAAAGCAGATACTTTGTAAACACTTAGGGTTAGTAGAACATAGAACATGCCATTTTTACAACCAACGGCAGGATACATGAATGAAGTGAGCTTCCTCTTAACTGTTTTGAATTGAGGCATAATTTTGAAATCAGAAGCAAGACAGCTGGAACTGCAGTGAGGAAGCATTTCTTCACACAGGGTCATGAAGATCTAGAATATTCTGCCCCAGAACGCTTGGCAGAATCAATAGGCATGTTGAAACAAGAGATAAATAGACATATACTTGGCTTGTAGAGGTATTTGTAACATAACTCGATCCAAATCAAGGGTGTGTTAGTAAGTTTCTTTAATTGTCAATCCAAACACACAATAATCCACCACTCTGAACCACACACTTTGTCCACCTCCCAGTGTCCATTTTGTACTTTCTCCCTTCTTATTATTGACCTTTTTGTAAATTGTCGATTTACTTTTAAAGGAAAGCACATTCAAAGAGGAGGGTCTTGAGATGGGTCTTGAAGAGGCAAGTGAGGGGGTGAGGTGGAGGGACTGCAGGATGAAGTTCCAGAGGGTGGGGGCAGAGTGGCTGAAGGTCTGCCCACCAATGATGGGGCAGATGAGGCGGGGGACGTGAAGCAGGCTGGAGCCCGATGAGCAGAGGGAGCAGGCAGGGTGGTAGGGGGTTAGGAGGGCTCTGTCCTTGGCCCTCTCCTCTTTAATATCTACATGCTCCCCCTTGGTGACATCATCCGCAGATTTGGGGTCATCTTCCACATGTATATGCGGATGACACCCAACTCTATCTTTCTGCCTCTACCCTCAACTCCAGGACCACTGCTGTCCTGACAGACTGTCTGTCGGACATCAAGTCCTGGATGAGGGCAAATTTCCTACAGTTGAATGTGAACAAGAGTGAGGCCCTCCTGATTGACTCACGTCCCCTGACCCACCCGCCCCTCAATCGGTAGTCGAACCTTCAGCCACTCTGCCCCCAACCTCTGGAACTCCATCCCATAATCCCTTCGCCTCACTCCCTCCCTTGCCACCCTCAAGGCACACCTCAAGACCTTCCTCTTTGACCATGCCTTCAGCCACTTTTCTACACTTTCTGCCGAATATTCTTCTGTATTTTTACTTGTGAATGGAAATATTACACAGAAAATTCCATCCTGATGAAAAATCACATTCTCATATTTCCCCACCCACATATACCTTGCCCATCTGAGCCGCAGTGTCGCCTCCAGCACCGAGATACACCATGGCCAGAGCGGCTGAGATGCTTAATGGAGAAAAGAAGACATTCTCCTTTTCTTTCCCTTCAATCACTTTCTTGTAGAGATCAAGAGCAAAGTTGGTGTTTGCAACACACAGAGGATCCATTGCTGAAATCTGCAGGAAAGGAAAAGCTGTTAAACAGCTGAAGTTGCAGCAATAAGATTTACTTATTGGATCACTGACATGCCACACCTTAAGCGATGAATGTCAAATTACACCCACATGGATAGCCTCATGTTTTGGGTGGCTGAGTCATTCTTGCAGGGTATGGAAGAGATTAGTAGAAGGAAGAATCCCTGTAGCTCCGCTAATGTACCAAGCCTGACTGACTGACATCTTAGCACCCTCCCACTCCTCCCTCAGCCACCAAGACCATTAGAAAGATGGCAGGAATATCATTTCATTATCTTACTTAAATTTAAAATATATCCTCCAAAATCCAAAATTAAATCCTTGCTCGTAAAGCCTTTCACAGCTGAGCTCTCAATATCATTTCAACCAGAATCCTACCCTCTCCCTCAAGTGTTCCATTTCAACCATATTTTCTCAGCCTCAAAGCAGCTCATAGCACACAACTCACAATTCAATAAAACATGAGCAAAGTCACAGAGAGAGGCCATGAGGACAGCTGGCTTGAGAAATAGAAACGTTCACACTAGTGCAGAACAGAATGATTTCCTGTGGCTGGCTTAGCTTCAATGATTTGGAAGGAATAGAGGGAATTTTATTCAGTCATGCTATACCTGCTCTGGGAATTACTGATACTGGTTCTGAGAGGCAAACTGAATTATATTTTTCAATTCTGCGATAATCCATCTTTATCCAAACAAGTAAAGTTAATTAAATTAAATTTATAGAATTTTTGTTTTACAAAACAGGTGTATAAACCATACAAGATGTACAATAATCTTTGGGGTACTGATAAACGAACAGACAGACTTTCAAACTCAGGCTTCAATCAACAAATAAACAGAATTGAGTCAAGAAATTGCAAGCCAACCCTGGAGTACAAGCGAGAATAATGCACATCCTGACGTCACAATAGAGTTTGGGTATTTGGCCACTTACACTGTACATTGTCACAAAAAATAGTAATAAATATTTGGGCTGAATTTATGCTCAATAATAATATATAAGTTTGATTTAACAAAACAGTTCAATTTTGCAGTATGTAATCTGCAGCCATTTATAAACTTCCACTTGTTTTTCAAAATGTTGCCTGTTTGTTTGCAGCATTTTCAGAACTTGTTTTCGACATTACTATCTATCATCACAGAAGAAAAGTTAGGTAAATTTGAGGTTATTTACCTGCTTCACACAGCAAAATTATGACAGTCCACACAGAGTTCCAGGACTCTTGTGCAGTTTTCTTCCTCCCTTTGGTGATTATGAGGGTGTGTTTCTCAACTGTGATATTGCGAATGTTGCATAAATTTACATTGTTTAATAAACACCCTATGGTTAAATAACCAGATTCAATACTTTGCAGAATATAGCAAAGACAGAAACTGCTCTTGTTTTACTCACCTTCTCTTTCCTGCTCAACTGTTTAATTCTAAAATCATATTAAGCTATATATAGTTTGCGGGAAGTTAAAGGCTAGAGGACATTTGCTTTCTTCAAAGTACATTTTCAGAACTGAGTGTTCTTACAAGTGGCCAGCTCCATACGAGGTGTAATAATAATAATAATCCTTGCATTTGATATAGCACCTCATCATTTCATTGACACATCTCAGTGGCTTCATTGTAAAGTGTAGTTATTGTGTACTTTGTGGCCAAAACACTGCAGCCTATTGCACTCAGCAATGCCCCACAAACAGCTATGAAGGGGATTTTATAATAATATAATACTTGCATTTGATATAGCACCTCATCATTTCATTGACACATCTCAATGGCTTCATTGTAAAGTGTAGTTATTGTGTACTTTGTGGCCAAAACACTGCAGCCTATTGCACTCAGCAATGCCCCACAAACAGCTATGAAGGGGATTTTATAATAATATAATACTTGCATTTGATATAGCACCTATCAGGTCTTCTAGACGTCTCAAAGCGCTTCACAGAATATAATGTAAAGTGAATTGACTGTATATTTGTGGGCAAAATGCAACAGCCAACAGTCATGGATTGAAGTGATCATTTTATTATTGTTTTTTTTCTTGAGGGATTATTATTAGGCGTGTGGAGTAAGGAAACTTGCCCAAAGTTTTGCCCGGCCAGAAATCGAACCCAGGTCTCTCGCTTGAGAGACGTGTGCTCTAACCACTGAGTTTCAGGACTCCACTGACTTTGTTCAGTAAACTTGGTGTCTGACATACGCGGAAACCATTCCCCATGAAGAGTATCCAAGCCAGACTGAGAGTTCTATGTATTTCACCCACAAATGGAAATCCCCCTGTATTGGAATGGAATGCAGACTCTTTCCAAGACATGTCTTGAAGGAGGCAAGGGAGGGAGCTAGGTGAAGGCAATGTGGGATGGAGTTCCAGTGGGTGCGGGCAGAGAGGCTGGAGGCCCGACCGTGGATTATTATTTTTATTAATCCTTGCATTTGATATAGCGCTTTTCACGTCTTCGAGAAGTCTCAAAGCGCTTCACAGAATATACTGCAAAGTGAATTGATTGTATATTTGTGGGCGAAATGCGGCAGCCAATTGCCCACAGCAGTGTCCCGCAAACAGTCATGGATTGAAAATGACCAATTTATTATTGTTTTGTTTTGGAGAGATTATTATTAGGCGTGTGGAGTAAGGAAACTTGCCCAAGGTTTCTCCCTGGGGTGATGGCAGGGCAGGGCAAGCGGGGACATGGAGCAGGCCAGACACTGCTGAGCGGAGGGAGCAAACAGGTTGATAAGGGGTTAGCAGGTCAGAGAAATAGGAGGGGGTAAGACCATGGAGAGCCTTGAAGGTGCGGATGAGGATTTTGAACTCGATCTTCTGAGGGATAGGGAGCCAGTGGAGCCGGGCGAGGGTGGGTGTGATGGGGTCACAGAGCCTGGTGTAGGAGAGGACACAAGCTGCAGAGTTCTGGGAGACCTGCAGCTTGTGGAGGAAAGAGTTGGGAAGGTCAACAAGCAGAGTGTTGGCTTAGTCGAGCCTAGATCTAATCAAGGCATGTATGAGGTTTTCAGCGGCCTGAGGGGTGACTCAGTGGCATAGTTGGGCAATCTTGCAGCGGTGGGGGAAGGCAGAGCGTGTCATGGCACGGATGTGGGGAAGAAAGGACGGTTGAGGGTTGAACAAGATACTAAGGTTCTTGACTGGTTTGGTGAAGTGGAGTGGGCATTCTTGGATGCTGATGCTGCCAGTGCCTGAGGTGAAGGGTCGCTGGCCCGAGCCAATCAGGAGAGCCTCGGTCTTGCTGACATTCAACTGTAGAAAGTTAGCTCTCATCCAGGACTTTCATACAGGATCCAAGCAGCCTGTCAGGACATCAGTGGTCCTGGAGTCGAGGGTGGAGGCAGAGAGGTAGAGTTGGTTGTCATCCGCATACAGGTGGAAATTGACCCCATATCTACGATGATGTCAGCAAGAGGGAGCATGTACAGGTTGAAGAGGAGAGGATTGAGGACAGAGCCCTGAGGAATACCGTACCAGACGGTATGGGGGCTGGAGGAGAAGCCGTTTGTAGAGACAAAATGGAGCTGGTGTGAAAGGTAGGATCTAAACTATTCAAGGACAGAACCTTGAGGTTGAGGTGAGAGGAGAGGTGGTGGAGGAGGATAGAGTGTTCCACAGTGTCGAAGCAGCAGAGAGGCCAAGGAGGACGAGGAGACAGAGAGAGCGATGGACAGAATATCATTGTCGCCTTGACCAGAGCTGTTTCTGTGCTGTGGGCACCACAGAAACCCAATTGGAGAAGTTTATAAATGGAGTGGTAAAAGAAGAAAGAGCAAAGCCGGGAAGCAACAACTCTTTCAAGGACTTTGGAAAGGAAAGGGAGGTTGGAGATGGGGTGGAAGTTAGTGAGCAGGGATGGGTCCAGGTAAGCTGATGGCAGCTGTTTTTAGGGAGGTGGGAACAGTGCCAGTTGACAAGGAGAAGTTGACGAGGTCTGAGAGTAAATGGGCGAGGAGGTGGAGCTAGGCGGTAAGGAGAGGGGTAGGGATGCAAGGATTATTTATTTATTACGAGCTGTACCCATTGCAGCTCCGCTTGCAATCAAAGGATTCAATATGGAATGTAGATTTCAGTGATACCACTCACAAACCATTTAACATACCATCAACACTGTGTGTACACCTTAAGCAAAACTGCAATACATGTGCAATGAGCTTGTTTGGGTCATAGCTCATGAATGATAGAAGATCTTATTAAAAAGATCTTAAGATCTCATGAATGATAGAAGATCTACGCTAACTGAAGGGGTTTACTGCGTGATCCAGCAGGTCCTCGAGTTATTGCAATGCAACCGTATTGTTCTTTGTTCTTCAGTTTCATTTAATCGGCCTTCTTTCCTTTGTCTGGCATTTTTATTTGTTCTGGAAAAGCTTGATGTTTGCTTAGGCATCTTTATCTTGTTCCCACCACTTGGCTTCGTCTGAGTGCGTGTGTACTGCGTGTGTACAGACTCTGTGACTCACGATGCCACAGCGCCACTGGGAGCCAACACGGCCGCCAGGTGTAACAGCAGTGGGCGCCGTGTGTGCCCGTGCATACATGTGCGTTCTGTGACGCTTGATGCCACAGCGCCACTGGGAGTCGGCGCAACCACCAGGTGTTACTGCAGCGCAAAACTGCGATACATGTGTAATTAACTTTTTTTTAGGTCTGAACTCATCAATGATAGGAGATCCCAAAAAATAATATGACACTCCCAAATGCAAGGCCTTTCCGATGAGGTATCAATCATGTCTCTACATCAATCGATTATTGATAACTTGGCTGATACACAGACTGACATTGTCATTTTATTACTATAGATAATACAGCTTTTGTTTCAAACTAAATTATAGAGATCTACACAGGATTAGGGCTTCTTTGTTGCACCCATATAGTATGTATAATGTTAGAATTTTTTTCAGTCCAAAAGAGTGTAACATTAAGGAGACTCGGTGATACATAAAATGCAAGGTTTTTGTTCTTAGCTATTAAAGAATATTTAAGTGACATACCATAACCCACTACTTGAAAAATTTATTTAATGAGGAAGATGAGTACAACCATCAAAAGATTACCAATATCTTACACTAATTCTCCCTATGAGCATTTATTTGTGTTTTTTTTATACTTAATGATAAAACTGAAAACTAAAATCCCTAAACATTATAATCGCAGCATAAGTCTACACCGGCAGATAATAGAGCCCTGACTATTAACAGCAATGTTGAAATGCAGTTAGATCAATCATGATCATTGAATTCAATCCATATTATTTCTTGCTGCTTTATTGCATACAACTTTATCAATAATTTTGATATCTACTAATTATAAGACCGTTTTGTGTTGCTGACTCTGCATTATGCCGATGTTAGCATTTTTACTGTCCTTATCAACATCTCCCTCCGGTGAAGAGAAACGCCCAAAGAACAGGATGTTGCGGGTTTTGTTGTGTCTGATGAAAAACAGGAAGGGATGATCAGCCACAAAATCAACTTCGATCTTCAGAAATTTTTCCATGAAAACGACTGATGTAGCAGCTGCCGCTTCTGTGCCCTCTTCATTAACTTCCACAAAGGATTTGTGAACAACTTTTGACAAAAACAGATCATTTTTTCCCGTCATTCCGGAGAAGTCGGCTTTAAAATCGAGGAAAGCATCAGCCATTCCCATCTCTGAAAGTGTGGAATTCAGGTCAAATTGGTCTTCCAGCTTAAATTTGGGCAGTTGGATTTTGACTTTAATTTTTTCCATGTATTCCTCTTTGGTCCAATCAAGCAGTTTTTCATATGTGAGCACCTGCTCAAGCTGTTTGAGGAGAAAAGAAATGGATCAGTGTATCAGCAAGTTGCTCATTTACAAGATAATGTATCATGAGCTATGATCAGAAGAAGTTGGCCAGAATACTATGGCCATAGTATCTCACAAAGGGTAGTGGAAATCTGGAATGCTCTACCCCAAAAGACTGTCGAGGATCCATTCTAATTTTAAAGACTGAGGTGCATAGATATCTGTTAGGTAAGGGCATCCAGGGAAATGGGGCAAAGGCAGGTAATTGGAGTTGAGGTACAGGAACAGACTTGAGGGGCTGAATGGCCTACTCCTATGTTCCTTCTGTATTTTCTGTTACTTCATTAGGTTTCAGGAGAATTGTTTTCCTTGAAACAAAAATAATCAGAACTTCAAGATTTTTTTTTATAGCACTCACTGAATAATAATAATGATACTGTAATTATAATAGCACTCAGAGACCATACCCGCCTGAAGGGTGCTATATAAATGTGAGTTGTGTTGTTAATCATCCTTACATTTGATATAGCATTTTTCCCATTGGGAGGACTCAAAATACTTCCCAGAATATACCGTAAAGAGGGGTGACCGTGTATTTTGTTGGCAAACACAGTAGCAATCTACACAGAGCAATGTACCACAAACAGCCATGAAGTGAGTGACCAATTTTATCAGTGGGATTGTTGGCCAGGTCACCGAGAGAAACTCACTTTTCTTTTTAAATAATGCCAATGGAACTTTTAACATCCACTTGAACGGGCAGATGGGATCTTGGTTTAATGTCTCACCCGAAGGACGGACCTCAAACAATACAGCACACCTCCAGCACTGCATTGGAGTGTCAGCCCAGAATACGTGAGTTCCAAGTCCTGTTGGAACTTGAATCAGCAAACCTTTTGATTCTGAGTGCTACCAACTGGGCTGACACATGATTCAATGCAATTTCTATCTCATAAAACATTGTGGAAGTGCAGCTCCTGTCTTCTATATTTTTCAAGGTTTGACTTTTTTAATTTTGTTCTCGTGTCAAACTACAGAAAGTCCCAATGCAACAATTCCAAAAAGTTGAATCTCTGAATTTCGTCAGCAAAATACACATTGAGTTAACTTTTGATTGTTAAACAGTCCTACATAATGTTTGAGGTACAGTAGGTGACACTCTAATACAGGACTGGAGGTGATCTGCATTGTTGGAGGTGCCATCCTTTGGATGTCTCCCATCTGATTATTCAGATGGATGTTAAAGATCCCATGGCACCACTAAAAACAGGAGTTGCAGCCTAGCTCAGTTGGTAGGGTTCAAGCACACATCAAGACTTCGAAATGTTAGTCTTTCCTGACACTCTAGAGCAATGCTGGATGTCCCGGGTGCCGACCTTCGTGTTATATGTTAAACAGAGGATCCATACGCCTGTTCAGGTGGATGTTTGTCTACAAATACACAATTATTTCACACTACGTCACACTCACTTTGAAACATCCTCCTAATGGATAAGTACTATATCAATGTAAATTGTATCCTGTGAATAAATTTGAGATATCCTCCCAACGTGAAAGATGCTATATCAAATGCAATGATGATTACCGTACAATCTGTCTGTTGTCACCTCTATGTTCCTCCCTCCATAGATGCTGCCTGACCTGCTGAGCAACTTCTGTTTTTATTTCAGATTTCCAGCATCTGCAGTAATTTGCCTTTAGTTTATGGTATTACTAGAACCGTTTTTTTTCTATTCATACAATATTATTATATTTCAAGCTAAATATTTAAATTGTGCAAACGTTTTATTAACACATGGATGACAAATAAAGTGGTTTCCTGCATTCTTCCACTTCATTTATTGATTTGGATCTTAAAATCGTCTTTTCAATGCTTCTCCACTGCGTAGTCAGCAACCTCACTACCCAGTATGAAAATAATAAAACAACAAAATTACATTTATATAGTGCCTTTCATGTCAGGAGGACATCCCAAGGCGCTGGACAATCAATGTTTCAGACTTGAACTGGGCGTCGGGATCAATGGGGGAAGGAAGGTGACCGAAGACACAGTCGAAGAGGACGGTCTTGAGATGGGTCTTGAAGGAGGCAAGAGAGGGGGCGAGCTTGAGGGAGTATGGGATGGGACGGAGTTCCAGAGGGTGGGGGCAGAGTGGCTGAAGGCTCGCCCTCCAATGGTGGGGTGGGCGAAGCAGGGGACATGAAGCAGGCCATAGCCCGCTGAGTGGAGGGTGCAGGCAAGTTGGTAGGGGGTAGAGGCCATGGGAAAGCAAGATCATCAAAGGCTTTGAAAGTGAGGAGCAGGATCTTGAACTGTATCCTTTGTGTGATGGAAAGCCAGTGGAGTCGGGCGCAGATGCGGGTCATAGGGTCGTGGAGCCTGGTGCAGGAGAGGACCGGGGCTGGATGATCTACAGCTTATGGAGGGAGGAGTTGGGGAGGCCGACAAGCAGGGAGTTTGCGTAGCCGAGCCTGGACGTTATGAATGCGTGTATGAGGGTCTCGGCGGCCTGCGTTGTGAGACAGTAGTGGAGCCGGGTGATGTTGCGGAGGTAGGGAAAGTTTGAACGGGTCATTGCGCGGATGTGGGGTATGAAGAACAGTTGAGCGTCGAACAGGACTCCAAGGTTCTGTATTGGCTCCATGAGATGTAGAGTGCATCCATGGAGGGAGATGCTGTCAGAGCCTGAAGTATGGAGGCGCTGATGGGAGCTAAGCAGGAGGGCTCGATCTTCTTGACATTCAACTAGCTGACATTCAACTAGCTCTCAGCCAGGATTTGATGTCTGTCAGGACAGCAGTGGTCCTGGAGTCAAGGGTAGAGGCAGAGAGATAAAGTTGGGTGTCAACCACATACATGTGGAAGTTGACCCTATGTCTGCGGATGATGTCACCAAGGGGAGCATATGGATATTGAAAAGGAGAGGGTCAAGGACAGAGCCCTGAGGGATGCCACACGAGATGGTGCGGGGGCTGGAGGAGAAGCCGATAGCAGCAATAAAGTGGAGATGGTGCGAGAGGTAGGATTCAAACCAGGCAAGGGCAGGTCTGCGAAGGTTGAACTGAGAGGAGAGGAGGTATAGGGACAGAATGGTCAACAGTGTCAAAGGCAGCAGAAAGGTCGAGAATGCCAGGTTAGGTTTTTAGTATAATAATAATAATCTTTGCATTTGATATAGCGCTTTTCACGTCAGGAGGACGTCCCAAAGCGCTTCACAGAACATAGTGTAAAGTGAATTGACCGTATATTTGTGGGCAAACATGGCAGCCAATTGTGCACAGCAATGTCCCACAAACAGTCGTGGATTGAAAATGATCAATTTATTATTGTTTTTGGTTTTGGAGGGATTATCATTAGGCTCTGTGTGGAGTAAGGAAACTTGCCCAAGGTTTCACCCTCTGCCTGGAATTGAACTCAGGTCTCTCGCTTGTAAAGCGAGTGCTCTAACCACTGAGCTACAGGACTCCAGGTATGTGCTGAGTTAGCTGAGTTAGCTGATTTCAGGCAGTCAGGTGCTAAATTTGTTCTCTGACTTGTGACCCTTTCTGGATGGTGTGTAAATGTGGCTATTTGGTAAACATTCTGCTACAACATTCCCTGTGGTTGAAGAGGCTACCACCACTTCCTGTAGAGTCTCACACACAAAGAATGCCAGGGTGCACTTCAGTCCAGCACCTTCACCAAAATCATTGAAGAAGTAAAAACACAACTAAATTACCTTTTCCAGACCAGTGGAGTTATCACTGATTTCATCAGGCAACATGATGACCATAGTCAGCTCATTTTGCACATAAGGGAGCTCAACAATCCTCATTTGAAGCTCTTTGATATAAGTGGAGTAAAGGTCTGCTTCTTGGTACATCATATTCACTGGCTTAGACTGCCCCTGCAAAAGAAGTTATGAATTATCATGAGTTAAGAATCAACACAAGTTGGTTCTTGATGGAACAATGAATGTAAAAGGTGTCATTCGTTTGAATTTTTCACCACCAAAGTTCAGTACCTTATTCAGTCTGAAGGGTTTCACAAGCGTATCTGTCTCATTAAATTTATGCTCCCAGCTCCCTTTAAAGTAGACGGCGTTCACAAGCACGAGTCTGGTGAGATCAGTAATATGGTCTGCAGAAAGCAGCTTTTGGATTTTACCTGAAGGAAAACACACAGTGAATTTGCTTAATTTATAAAGATAAGAAAAAGATGTTTGAAACAGAAATTATTTTCATGCTTTATAACAGAACCACTGTATTGTTTAAAGAACTATTGATAGGCTCCACTAGCCTATTGCCTCCATTCTTGCCCGGCTCTATTAGCTCCCCATCCCCGAGAATATTGAGTTCAAGATCTTCGTCCATACTTTTAAATCCCTCCACTGTCTTGCCCCTTTCTACCTCGGCAATTTTCTTAAACCTTACCAACCAGCCCTCTCCCCCCACTAGGATTACTAGTCTGCCTCACATCCCCCGCCCTGCGTGCCCCATCATCGGACTTTCAGCCTTTCTGCCCCACTTTTTGGAATCCCATCCTGGAGTTCCTATACCCCTCCCCTCCCCTCCTCTGGATCTGTTTCCAGACTTTCCTCTTTAACTACTCCTTCAGTCATTTTCTCCCCCCACTCCATACCCCTCGCCAGCCCCCAGCCCCACTGCTCCTGAATCCAACCCCCAGTTTGGGTGCAAATCCTCGACTGTCCAGCATTTATGAAATCCTATGACATGAAAGGTGCTATATAAATGGAATTTATTGCTGTTTCACACAGGGGAAGCTAAATATTCTTTAATACCTTCAGGAAGTATGAATCTGTCAACATTGGGTATATCCTTGGTGGGAGATTTTCAGAAATCAGTATCGTAAGAACCATTAAAATATATGATACATTAGGATGCCAATCAGCTCATTTTTTTATGCGTGTTTCTTCCTCCAAGATACTATCCACCCTAATCCCAATTGCCTGCTCTTTTCCCATACTCTCTGATTCATTTGCTCTGCAAGCGCTTCTCTAATTGTTTTTAAATGCTCCAATCAACTCTGCTCTATCAGCCAACCTGGTTCCGACAAAGGGTCGTGGACCCGAAACGTTGACTCACTTTCCTTTCTCCATAGATGCTGCCTGACATGCTGAGTTTTCCCAGCTCTCTCTGTTTTTGTTTCAGATTCCAGCATCTGCAGTATCTTGTGTTTTGATCCTGGTTCCATTCTCTAACAACACGTGGAGCCCTGTAGCTCAGTGGTTAGAGCACTTGCCTCGCAAGCGAGAGATCTGGGTTCGATTCCCAACTGGACAAAACATTGGGCAAGTTTCCTTACTCCACACACCTCTGTTTACCTCGCAGTAAGTAGGAACCCGATTGTTAGTCGATTGGTGTATCGTTTCTCCAGGGGTAGTAATTACTTACAAAAAAAACGTTGGTCAGTCAATCCACGACTGTTGTGGGACACTGCTGTGCGCAATTGTCTGCCACCCACAAAATATACAGTTAATTCTCTTTATAGTACACTCTGTGAAGCACTTTGAGATGTCTCAAAGATGTGATAACAGGCTACATTGAATGCAAGGATTATTATTATTATTAATGCTCTGGGAGAAGATCTCACCCTAACTAAACTCTGTACACCCATCGCATCAGTTCCAGCCAGCCTCCACTGGCTCCCTATCACCATACGGATCGATTTCAAATCCTTTATGCCTTAGCATCTCTCCACCACTCTTCTGCATGTCCCTTGTGCCCTCCATTCCACCATCGGTGGCTGCGCTTTTAGCCACTATGTCCCAAACTCTGGAACACTCTTCCTCCATCCCTCCACCTTGTCGCCTCCTACACCATTTTTAGGTTATGCCTGAAGCCTTCCTTTTCAACAGTAGCAACAGTCACCTTCCCCCAGCTCAACGGCATGGTCTGGGAAGCTACTTTGTGTGAGGTGCGTTATATAAATGCAAGTTCTTCTCCCAAACCTCTTCTACACCCCTAATCATGATCTTGTCCTCTAATTTCTTACCAACAGAAAGAGGTTTTCCACTCATTTTATTTGGTTTCTTGGTTCAATTCAAGTATAAAAAATGACATTGCTGAATGCCTTACCATCAGTTTTGATCTCTACCCAGGAATTAATCGTGTTCCTGGCAACTTCTGGCTGATTTGCGAAGTCAACGGCAGACAGATCTGCCTGATAAAATTCTGAGATAGAACTGAGGAATTTCTGAAAGAAGAAGGCACATATGGGTCAGTAGATAGAAAGGTTACTTCAAGTAAGAAAGACTTAAGAACATAAAGACGTAAAATTATAGCAGTGAAATGACTGCATTGGCGAAAACTGAGCTTCAAACTTATCTTTAACCACTAACAGGTTTGCGAGTGAATATTTCTCTCCTTCAATTTCGACACAGTAGTCTGAAATCTGTAACCATTTTTCAAGATTGTTCATCCAACATATCTTAGATTTCTGGTTGGCAGTAACAGGACCAAATGTCTTTCTTTGATCTACTAAGGACGGGCAGCATTCGAGTGCTGCTTCAGAAATTGACTTAAAATTGTTTCTTAATTTTGTTTGCATAAGTATCATTCTCCAGGATAGGGAGCAAAAAATGGAACATGGAAATGCTCAGCGCTGTGCTGACACTGTGATTGCCAGGAAAGGTGTTGGAGGCCAGGACACTGGACTCAATTATACAGCAGCTTGATGCTGTGATGGGGGTGATGGGGGGGCTGGGGGGGTGTTCTGAAGGGATACGATTAGATGCCTGAATCATCCACACAAATTTTGTGATATTCTGATGATGTGTTAGTTATTGGTGCTAATTAGCCTTTATGGAAAGGATATACACTTCACTCCTAGTTTCTAAAACTCCATTATGTAACTGTTAAATAGTGCCCTTAACAGCATAACTTCTTGGCCATAATGGTCCATAAATTGCTCCATCTAGACTAATCAAACTCCACAGGGCCATTTTATCTCATTAAAATCTACTTTCATCCCACATCCTCGTATACACTAATAGTTCATATCCTACCAGAAAAATCTGCTATAAATTAGATAAGAACAAGTCAAAAATAAGCAGGGGTGGTCAACAATTCTTCATAAACATTTTGCAGTAAGGATTAAAATTCCAACATTGTATTGCTGCATTCAGTACATGAAGAGTTAATTTCAAGGCTTGATGAGGTTTAAACTAGCACTTATTGCTACTGTTGGGCTACCAATTGCTTGGACTCGGATTTCCTTTACTTTTTTGACCAGTGGCCAGAGTTTGAATGTTTATGACTATTCTCCTTGGAGGTCTATAGTGGTTTCAGTAGTCCAGTTCCTGAACCAGGTGTACTCCAGGGCACTGCTGGTGACAGACCAGCCAGCTTGACTCATTAGCATGACTTGGAGGGACAGACCAGTTACTCCGCTCCTTTTAAAGCCAAAGCCCTAAAGGGTAGGGTGGTCCTAGCTGTACAAATAGTAGTTTACCACCACATACTTTTGACCGCAATGTTGGCTTTTGCCAACTTTTCCTAATACTCTCCGGATTTAGGCAAGCAGAATGCATTCCTCCAGGGAGACTACACATTCCATTCTAGATACAGGGAAATCTCCATGTGTAGATATAATAATAATAATAATCCTTGCATTTGATATAGCGCTTTTCACGTCGGGAGGACGTCCCAAAGCGCTTTACAGAACACACTGTAAAGTGAATTGACTGTATATTTGTGTGCGAACGCGGCAGCCAATTGCGCAAAGAAATGTCCCACAAACAGTCGTAGATTGAAAATGACCAATTTATTATTGTGTTTGGTTTTGGAGGGTTTATTATTAGGCGTGTGGAGTAAGGAAACTTGGCCAAGGTTTCGCCCTGCCTGGAATTGAACTCAGGTCTCTCGCTTGCAAAGCGAGTGCTCTAACCACTGAGCTACAGGACTCCACATAGCATACATATGTGGAAATCTCAGTCTGGTTTGCGTACTCTTAAGTATGGTGATGGATTTCTGCACGTCATACACCCAGTTGACCTAAACAAAACATTCTTTAAAAATTAAATTGTTATGTGTTGTATCAGTGCAAAGGACTAATTCTAATCCATCTGATCTTACTTGAAGAAATGTGTACGTCTTATCTTGAAAAAGACTGTTGACCAGTTTCAGCAAATAGGAAGCGCTGGGTCTGTTGATGTCAGACAGCAGTGTCTTGAATCTTGCATGGACGTCGTCTACTGTATCAAAGTGTAGCACCTGTTAAACACACAATTAAAGTAGTAACAATTAGTTAAAATGAACCACTGCAGACTAATTCGCAATATTTTAATGGGATATCTTTAGAAGGAATCCAGTTAAACTATGGAAACTTTGTTCCTAAAGTAGGTCGCATCTGAGTTGACAAGGCTTACGATGAAGTGGATCCAGTTATGAAGGAGTCCCCCACTTGTGCAACTTGGATTACTTTTTGAACAATCCAGTTAACAAAAACTGCAGATTAGACTCCATATATCTAGCTTTATTACTTTCATTGCCCAGTGATTTATTAGTGTCTGAGAAAATACTGAACATTTCATCTATATTCACTTTACATATACTTGGAGCAAATGTTCAGTGCATTTCTTCCGACAAATAGTGCATCACAAAGTGTTTTCACAACAGATTAATTTAAAAAGTAAGAATTCTTTACTCTTAATATTTTTAAATTCAGCTGGTTCTTTTTAATCGCTGTGGAAAAATAGCAGGACACTCATCAAAAACATATTGCAATGCAAAATCTTGAATCTTAATACAAAGCATCTAACAGGTAAAGTCTAGGAGCCTCTGGATTCCACCTGAAATTGTGTTTGTACAGTAAGAGGGAAGATAAAGGCAAAATGTTGATACGATTAATGCCAGTTGTATGGCAGGTACAGCTCTGACTGTTTACTCACCAGCACCACATGCCAATGAGATTTTCTATTGGTAAATGAAGAACTCACTTTCTTAGAAGTTCTTAACTGGCATTCAAAATGTAACAGCCAAATTGTAAAATCTTTTTTCACTTCCAAGGATGACGTTTAAAAATTCACAGGCTGTCAACGCCCAGTTTTACATTGGAACCACTCGAAGCAAGTGTGAAGACTCTATCCTCAGCCTTCTGCTTTTCTCATTTAAATGCTCCTTCTCAGTGATGTCATCCACAGACATGGGGTCAATTTCCACCTGTACAATATACGCCAAATTAACATTTTCTCCTCTAACAGTGACCTCAGGTTCTAATGATGTTCTGTCTGCCTGCTTGTTACACATTCAAGTCCTGGATGAACACCAACTTTCTGCAGCTGAACATGGACAAGACAGGAGCCATCGCCTTGGCTCCCATCTTCTTACCTCACAGCTCTGCCATCTATCAACTCCCTGGGATAAAATCTTCAGACTTACTTAAACTGTGTGCAACCTTGGAATGAGGTTCGATCCTCAGTTTTCCTGCCTACCTACATCTAGTCCCTGATCAGGACCGCTTTCCTTCAGCTCTGCCACATCACCTGCCTCCGAACATACCTCACACAATTCTGCCTAATTGTTGAAATCCTCATCCATGCTTTAGTTACTCAATTTCTCCACAGGAATCTTTGTCAATCTCCCCAGCTCCCCACCATTTACAAAGTTCAATTGATTTAAGACCCCATTGCCCAAATCCTCATCCACACTAACCTCTACACTCCCATCAACCCAAATCTTACCATTTTGATTGTGCCTAGAGTCGCCTCCCCTTTCCCCCTAACTCGGCATCAAACTATGCCATTTCTAAGCACTTTAAGACACAAGCGTGCATAAAGGGCACTAAATAAGTGCAAGTTATTGTTGTTGATTGTACCATAAATACAATTGGGGAAGTAAAGACAATCCCTAACTAACTGCATGTTTTTCACTCACAAGTATTTTGTTATGAAAAATAATATAGCTCTTGCATATGTTATAGCACCTTATCACAACAAAAATGTCTCAAAGGACTCCACAGAAGTTTCTGTAAAGTGCAATAATCATATATTTGCAGGAAAAAGTAGCAGCCAATTTGCACACAGTGTCCCACAAATAGCCATGAATCGAATTACCAATTTTTTTGTATCTAAGGGATTGTTGGAGAGGACCACAGGAGAAGCTCCCTTCTCTTTTCAAATAGTGCCACAAGATCTTTACTGTCCAGCTGAACAGGCAGATGGGACCTCAGTTTAAATCGCACCTCTGGCATTGTAGCACTCCCCAGCACTGCATTGAAATGTCAGCCTTATTAAATTCATATTACATCCAGTGAACAGTGACTAATTCACTGTAAGTTCATTTGAAGTTACTTTGAGAAATGTAAATATTTTGTTTCCATGGAAATACCTGGCCTGTTTCCAGAGAGAGACCTGGACTACTTCACAGGTAGGAGAGCCCACATACTATATTTTAATCACATTTGAACTGTATGGAAAGGAACTAAACATATTTCTGGAGAAACTTTGAATAGACTATATTGAGTTTGTGTTAAATATCACACAGAAGCCATGTTTTTGTGCTCCAAATTAAATCAATTCTCAAGCAATATTTTCACATTCATTATTTTACAAAGTATTCAGTCCACACGTACCTTGCTCATCTGAGCTGCAGTGTTGCCTTCAGCACCGAGATACACCATGGCCAGAGCGGCCGAGATGCTTAATGGAGAAAAGAAGACATTCTCCTTTTCTTTCCCTTCAATCACTTTCTTGTAGAGATCAAGAGCAAAGTTGGTGTTTGAAACACACAGAGAATCCATTGCTGAAATCTGCAGGAAAGGAAAAGCTGTTAAACAGCCGAAGCTGCAGCAAATCCTCAAATCCCCAACTGACCCCAAATCTGACGCCTTGGGACGTCCTCCTGACATGAAAGGCTCTATACAAATATAAATTGTTGTTGTTGAACAGTTGAAAGAGCTGCAATACCGATTTATTTATTGGAGTACTGACATGGCACACCTGTAGAGATGGGTGTCTATTTACACCCCCCAGCCTCATGTTCTGGGTGTCTGCCTGCAGCCATCTGTTGACTGCGAATGGATTAATCTTGCATTAAATTTACTTACATAAATATTTCACTTCACCGCAGTTACAAACTGTAAATTTTCAGATTTTGAATACTGAGATAACCAAGCTCACAGATACAGGTGTCCCTTCAACAGCCAATTTTATTAAGCAGACCTTTATATACCCAGCGCATGTACAGAAAGGTATATTTACTAATCCGGTAAACAGCTGTCTTTATTGTGTTGTTCCCTGTAGAGGCTGTTTCAACTTTAACTATTCAGTAATGAACATTTATAGAGCATTTTCCTAATCTTTTTGCTCACCCCTTTCCAACCAATCTCTTTCCAATCTCATCATAATACCTAGATCATTTCAAAGGGGAGCTCTGTTATTCAATCGTGACCACAAGGGGCATCCACTAACACATACCAACACTGCTTCTTTGTTTTACTCCTTGCTCAAAACATAAACCATTTGGTCTAACTATGCTCCTAACCTAATCAAGAAAGAAAGCGTAATAACGTTCATCAGCTCTGTGTCAAGCAGAAGGTCACCAAATAAAATCTCACTTCAAAACTGTTTTATCTCAAAATTACAGAAAAATAACTACAAATATTAAAGAACTTACATTTTATGCAAAATATATTATAAAACAGCATAATAATCAAATTGACAGAATAAAATGGTTAAAATATTAAAATTATAGGGTTCACACGTGCAAAACTTAGCAAAAGCATATTCACTGGATGTATTTAAAATGGCAAGTTACAATCTGATTTTAAATAGAACAGTTCAATTTTGCAACAAAAAATCCTTTAGTGCTGATTTGGTTTAGTTATTTGTGAAGATCAGTTTGTTGTGCAAAATATTGCTTGTTCATTATAGCTTTTCTCTAGATACCCAAGTTCAAATCAAAAAAGGATTTTGGGGAAAAAAATCTTACCTGATTTTCCCTGTATTCAGCAACTTCACACTGCAAGTTCAAAATTGTCCACTGTTCATGTCCTCAGAGAATTTAAACACTTTGACTTTGGGGGCGTGTTCCTGCGTGTGAATGAGATTCAGAAAATGACTTAAAACTCAATTACTATTTAGAAATACAAACGGGAATGTACAGAACCAGAAAAGACCAATGCAGTTTTTTTTTTGGTCTCTGACACATGCAGAACTCATGGAAATGCAACTTTTATTCTCTCTCTGGAGGGACACACCCTGCTGACCTAATTCTGGAGAGTGTTAGGTGCATGTCATCAAGAGGGAAGGACTGCAGGCTCCATAGTTGTTGTACTGTTGCAGCTAAAAATACATAGCCCATGGAAGATCTCCCTGCAGTCCTTCTCCGCTGCCCTGGAATCCTCTGAACTCCTTCCCTTCTGGCCCACCTCTCGCACCAACCCACTCACTGTGTTTACTCTTCACCACAGTACCCTCTCCACCACACTCGATGCCCTTGACCCCCTCACCTCCCGAACTGCCTCCAATTCCCGATCCTCACCCTGGTTCACCAGCCACCTCCACTCGCTCAAGGGCCAGGTGCGGGCTGCTGAACGCACTTGGCTCAAATTCAGCCTAACGGTCCACCGCCACATCTGGCTGGATCTCATCAAAACTACCGCTCCGCTCTCGCCTCGGCCAAATCATCTTTCTACTCCAGTTGAACCCTGGAGGCAAAGGGCAACCCCAGGCTCCTGTTCTCCACCACCAACCGGCTCCTCCACCCACCCCGCCATGCCTCACAGATTCTTTCTTCCGACTCCCACTGTGAGGAAATCAACGGAAACCGCTCAGCTGCCACTGCCCTCCCAACTTCCACCCCCTCCCTAACCCCACCCCAAACTCCGACAATTACCCATCCCTCCTTCCACACCTGTGAACCTATCTTCACCACCATATCCTCCATGAAGCCCATCACCTGCTCCCTGGACCCCATCCCCACCCCTCTCCTTAAATCCCAGCTCCACCTCCTTGCCCCACTACTCGCCGACATCATTAACCTCTCCCTGTCATCTGGCACTATTCCTTCCCCCTTAAAACAGCCATTATCACTCCCACCTTGAAGAAACCTTCCCTTGACCCATCACAGCTATCTAGCTACCGGCCCATCTCAAACCTTCCTTTCCTATCCAAGGTCCTTGAGAGAGCCGTTGCCTCCCAGCTTCGTTCTTTCCTCTCCTCGCACTCCCTCCATAACCTCTCTAATCGGGTTTCTGTGCTGCCCACAGCACAAAAACTGCTCTGGTCAAGGTCACAAATGACATCCTGATCATGTGTGACCAGGGCTCCCTCTGCCTCCTCATCCTCCTCGACCTCTCCACTGCCTTTGACACCGTGGACCACTCAATCCTCCTCCACCGTCTCTCCTCCCACCTCAACCTCAAAGGTTCTGTCCTTGACTGGTTCAGATCCTACCTTTCACACCGTCTCCACTTCGTCACAGCAAACGACTTCTCCTCCAGCCCCCGCACAGTCTCGTGCGGTGTCCCTCAGGGCTCTGTCCTCAGTCCCCTCCTCTTCACCCTCTACATGCTCCCCCTTGGCGACGTCATCCGCAGACATGGGGTAAATTTCCACATGTATGTGGATGACACCCTCAACTCTAGGACTACTGGCGTCCTGACCGACTGCCGGTCCGACATCAAGTCCTGGACGAGGGACAACTTTCTCCAACTCAACATCAGCAAGACCGAGGCCCTCCTGATTGGCTCGCGCCAACGTCTCCCCACTTCGGGCGTTGGCAGCATCAGCCTCCACGGATACACATTCAACCTCACTGAGCCAGTCTCATCGGCCTTCTCAACTCTTCCCTTCACAAGGATCATCCAAAATTCTGCCGCTCGGGTACTCTCACGCACCAAACTCTGCAACCCCATCACTCCCTCCCTCACCCGACTCCACTGGTTCCCCATACCCCAGAGGATCGAGTTCAAAATTCGTATCCTCACTTTCAAGGCCATCCATGGCCTTGCCCCCTCCTACCTCTCTGACCTGCTGACTCCCTACCAACCTATCCATTGCCTCTGTTCAGCGGGCTCCCTTCTGCTCCATGTCTCCCGCCCGACCCGCCCTACCATCAGTGGCCGGGCTTTCAGCCTCTCTGCCCCCACACTCTGGAACTCCACCCCACGGTCCCTTCGCCTCGCTTCCTCCCTTGCCTCCTTCAAGGCCAGTCTCAAGACTCTTCTCTTCGATCGTGCCTTTGTTCTCCCTCCACCTCTCTGCCTTCCCTCACCCCTACACCATCCCTCCCCCATGCTCGGGCCCTGACACCTGACTGTTCAGCGCTTTGGGACGTCTGCTCTGCATTCCCATTCTTGCCAATGAACCAGGCTGATAGATCCTTCACCAACAGACCCGCTTGGCTCAGGAACCAGACTACCAAAGCTGTCATAGACAGTTGACTCGAATGTGATAATCCGTTGCCAAAAATGTCAGTAAGAGCAAAGTCAGCTCCAAGAAGACCCCACCTCTCCCCCCACCCACGAGGATCATCACTAATTGATCATTTGACAAGTGTAGGTTTGAGCCCTCACTAAGTGGATGGCAGGTACCAATAAAGTCCCGGTGAGCAGCACAGCCCAGCATGAAACGTGTGAGAGCATTGCCATCATCGCCATCAGCTTGGACACACATTCCTATCCATTGAGCAATGGATCCACCAGAGTTTAAGCAGTATCTGCTTACCTCTCTGTATATAACCATGGATATGCAAACAGGTATTCAAGAATCTAGACTCCAGATAACTGTTCAACAGTTGTCGCCCCGAAGCCTCATACAAAGTCACAACCAGTCCCATACATTCCTCATGAGAATGGAAGCCAGCCTGCTCCTTCCTGATCAAATCACGAGCCTCCAATGAGTGCAATGCAAATGCAGTGACAATCCGAAGCAGCACTTTAAGAGCCACAAAAATCAGCGAGATCCCTCTGCAGTTATCGATTTCACTAGGGCCACCCTTCTTGAGGAAAAGACACCAGAATTGCACTCTGGAACACTGACAGGGTGCAGGTGTCAGAAAAAATCCTGTTGACTAGTGCTAGGAGGGCAGCTCCAAGGTGAGTCAGAGGTTCCTGGCTTGGACCTGTAAGATCCTCACCTCCTTCAGAGCAGCTTTTAGGAACTCAGTATTGATGTCATCTGTACCAGGTGCCTTGCCATTGGGAAGGAGCCAAAGTTTAGAGTCCACCTCCTCCAAAAGATTAGGTCATTAAGGTCTTCAATCTGTCACACGCCACCTACCAACTCTTCCAGCCTTCATGAAGATGCGTCTCTGCTGCGGTCTGTTGGGTCAGATGCCAGCTCCTTGTAATGTTCCCTCCAGACCCCGAGAATAACATGGGGCTTTTGTAGAATACCGGACTTGTCCACTACTAATATGAGCCCAGAGAGGTCCCTCCAGCTATGATTGACAACAGACTTCAGCCAGCAGAAGAAAGATTTAGGATCATTCTTGTGCAGTTGCGCCCCTTTTGGAGTGGCAAAACTGATCCCAATTCATTTCTCTGATGACTTTTCTAACATTGTGCCATACTTGGTTGTACGTTGTCTTTGCTGCAGTTTCCAGCTTGCTCCGAGGAAGCTTCTAGAACCGTTTTAAAGGCTATATGCTTTTGCCTAATAACTCTCCGTCCCTTTGTGGTTTCTCTGTCAGGGTCCTGCAATAAGGCTTGAGTGCCTTGAAGAGTTTAGCTTCATTTTCCTCACAACTTCAGCTGCAGAAGCAACAAAGTCCTCGGCTACATCATTGATCATTGAGTCCCCACTGTCAGCCCTCACAGTCTCGGTCCCAGGCTAGAGTCGGCTGTTCAGTGAACCCACTGACTCACAAACCCACACATTCGGGAGTATGGACCTGCTCTCCTGCTCCCACAGAGAAGAAGGACTGCACTAAAAAGATGTGCTCTTCATAACAAATTGCTGCGCTTGAAGAGAGAGGAGCACAACCAAAGCGCCCTTTGCCCCTTCTCAGCACAGTCCCACAGGTCAGTGTCCAAGCAAAAGTTGGTGTCGACTACAATCCCAGATACTAATAAGAATCAACAATTGTCACCAATGCCCCTTGTATTTTCCAATCAATAGTCTTGAGGTTCCTTTTTGATAATGATAATAATAATATTAATAATAATCCATGCATTTGGTATAGCGCCTTATCACATATTCTAGACTTCTCAAAGTACTTCATAGAATATACTGTAAACCTGATTGACTGTATATTTGGGGGCGAATAATAATAATCCTTCCATTTGATAGCATGCCAATCAGGTCTTCGAGACGTCTCAAAGCGCTTCACAGAATATAATAATAATATACTGTAAAGTGTAGTGACTGTATATTTTGTGGGCGAAATGCAGCAGCCAATTGTGCACAGCAGCATCCCACAAACAGTCGTGGATTGAGTGACCATATTTTTGAGATTGTCCTTGATTTATCTGTGCCCTTATTATCTTACATAGTTTTAACATCTAAGCGTTCCAAGATTTTATCCCCAAGCTTTGGCTCTTACCAACCTACGCCTAATACTCTCCAGATTTAGGTAAGCATGGTGCATCCCTCCAGAGAAAGAATACACATTCCATTCTAGATACAGGAAAATATTCATATGTAGGTGACATACATATGTATACCTCCATCTCTTTTGGATAGTGAAAAATGTTGATGGATTTCCAACATATCTCAGACACCCAGCTGACCAAAAATAAAGAGTAAATAAATCCTGGCCAATATTGTGATCCCCAAAATTGATTATTGACTACACTTAAGAGTAACTAATTGTGTGAAACGCTTTGAGACATTTTCACAAGTATTATTACTGTATGTTGATGCCCTTAAGTGCCAGCTATGAGTGCATGTTCTCAGGAAAATATTAATAATAATTATTTAGTAATAAAACACTGAACAGATTGTAAAACGAACTGTTCCCCTCTACCACTGCTAAAGTGGTGGTAAGTGTGTGTGTGTGTGAGTGGGAGGGTTCAGTAGAGGCATCAGTCTTCCTCCCATTTAATTTTCCTTTTATTACACCTTCATCCAAAATCACTCCTGAAATTGTAATTAATAATTAATTGGTTTTTGTCTCATTGTTGTTTGTAAGATAAAGCTGTAGGATAAATTGGATGTCACATTTAGCTCCAAAATAACCAATTTTGGGGGGTCAGTTAATATTGACCAGGATTTTTGTATTCTTTTTTCTTTTTGTTACATTGTCAACCTCGACTACGTGAGTTCCAAGTGCTGAATTGGAGCTTGAAACCACGACCTTCTGACTCAGAGATGAGTAATGAATAGTATGATGACTGTGTAAATTTTGTTATTGCATTTTGTGGGTCAATGCGGCAGCCAATTTACGCCCAACAATGTCTCACAAATGACCGTGGAGTCAGTCACCAGTTTAATTTGGGGGATCGTTGGCCAGGTCACTGGGAGAAACTTGCTTCTCTTTTTGAATAGTGCCATGGGAACTTTAAATCCACCTAAACAGGCAGACGGAACTTCAGTTTAAACTCTTATCTGGGGAATGTTTTCATAAATCCCTTGAGTTTATGCTTCTTTGTGGCAGACATTGGATAAAATCTCTTTTGTAAATGATTGTATCAAAAAAGCTGAAGAGAAAAAATAGAAAAAGTTATGATTTTTTTTGTCAGCTGAGTGTGTGGCATTTGCGGAAACCTTTCAACATGCTTCCGATATCCAAACCGGACTGAGAATTCCACATATGTATACCATCTATTAAGGGATTAAGGGATATGGGGATAGGGCGGGTAAATGGAATTAGGTTAGAAGATCAGCCGTGATCTTAGTAAATGGCAGGGCAGGCTCGAGGGGCCAAATGGCCTACTCCTGCTCCTATGTCTTATGATCTACATAGGGAAATTTACGTGTCTGGAATGAAATATGCACTCATTCCCCAGAGGAAGGAAAAGTTTTGAGAAAAGATCAGGGTTTCCCCACTTGATTGTCTCACAACCTCCCACTAATCCAACCTGGGAATCCTCTGTCGGGCTCACCATGGTACCCGCCATTGCCTATCTAGCAACAACCACACTGACTACCCCATTCCTACCACAAGGTCCATCAGTCCCTGACTCAAGTGGCAAACTTCTCCTTCCTCATCCACATTCCCACCCTCCCTGTCAATCCTCCTCCTCTCCCCTCTCGTCTTGCAATTTCTTTGCCAACTGACCTCTCTGTATCGTTCCAAAAAATGTTTGCTCCCTCTCCAACAAAGCTCTCACTATCCACGACCTCATTGTTGATAGAAACATCAACATCCTCGTCCTCACAGAAACCTGGATCACCCCAGGTGACACCTTCCCCTGATTGAGGCCACACCACCTGGCTATACCTTCCACAATACCCCACAACCTAACCACCGTGGTGGTGGTGTGGCTCTCATCTCCAGGTCCTCATTTGCTTTACACCCCTACTCCTCTGGATCCTTTCCCTCCTTCAAGCACCTGACCCTCTACCATTCTCCAACCTTTTCCTCAAAACTTTAATTTTTGATTATCCTCCAAAACCCTCCCCTACCTTCCTCTCTGACATCTCCACCCTCCTAGCTTCCCTGTGGCTCTGTACTGAACACCTTCTCATCTTAAGTGGCTTCAATCTCCACTTCACCCCCTCTTGCTCTATCTCCGCTGAATTCTCCTCCCTCCTCTCCTCTCACAACCTCTCGCCCCATATCCACTCTGCTACCCATGTCCATAGACACCTGCTTGATCTGGTGATTACCCGGGGCCTCAGCATCTTGGACATACTATCAATGACAAAGCCCTCTCGGACCATTACTTCATCTCCCTTGACTCCTCCATCCTCTCCCTGCCACCCAACCCACTTTTATCTCCTACCACCCCTGGAAAAATATCTCCCCCACCCCTCCCTCTCTGCTGCCATGGAGTCATCTGAACGCCTCCACCTCTGGGCTTCCTCCCATAATGACCTATCCTCCTCGGTCACTCTCCACAACTGCCTCTCCGTCACTCTCGATGCCCTTGACCCCCTCACCTCCCTCCTTTTTCACCATAATTATTACTACAATGAAATCCATCAACTGCTCCCTTCAATCCCATCCCTATCCCTCTCCTTACCTCCCAGCTGCACCTCCTTGCCCCTCTACTCACAGACATCATCAACCTCTCCTTGTCCATTGGCACCTTTCCCACCCCCTTAAAAACAGCCGTCATCAACCCAATCCTCNAAAAACCTTCCCTGGACCCTATCTGCTCTTCAACTACTGCTCCATCTCCAACCTCCTTTCTAAGTTCCTGGAATGAGTCGTTCCTTCCCAGCTTTGCTCCTTCCTCTCCTGCCACTCCCTATACGAACACCTCCAATTGGGTTTCCGCTGTCCATGGCACAGCACATCTCTCTGCTGTTTTTGATACCGTTGACCACTCCTCCTCCACCGCCTCTCACCTCAACTTTCATGGTACTGTCCTTGAATGATTCAGATCCTACCTGTCACACCATCTCCACTTTGTCTCCACAAACAGCTTCTCCTATAGCCCCTGCACCATCTCGTATGGCGTTCCTCAGGGATCTGTCCTTGGTCCCCTCCTCTTCAATAGCTATTTGCTCCCTCTTGGTGATATCATCTGCAGACATGGGGTCAACTTCCACATGTATGTGGATGACACCCAACTCTACCTCTCTGCCTCCACCCTTGACTTCAGGACCACTGCTGTCCTGACAGAATCTCTGTCAGACATCAAGTCCTGGATGAGAGCTAACTCTCTACAGTTGAACATCAACAAGACTGAGGCTCTCCTGATTGGCTCCTGTCAGCGCCTCCACACCTCAGATGCTGACATCATCACCATCCATGGATGCACACTCCACCTTACTAAGTCGGTCTGGAACCTTGGGGTCTTGTTTGACCCTCAACTGTCCTTTATAATAATAATAATAATAATAATCCTTGCATTTGATATAGCGCTTTTCACGTCGGGAGGACGTCCCAAAGCGCTTCACAGAACACACTGTAAAGTGAATTGACTGTATATTTCTGGGCGAACGCGGCAGCCAATTGCGCACAGCAATGTCCCACAAACAGTCGTAGATTGAAAATTACCAATTTATTATTGTTTTTGGTTTTGGAGGGATTATTATTAGGTGTGTGGAGTAAGGAAACTTGCCCAAGGTTTCGCCCTGCCTGGAATTGAACTCAGGTCTCTCACTTGCAAAGCGAGTGCTCTAACCACTGAGCTGCAGGACTCCATTCCACTCCCTACCCTTCCTGACCATCACTCCTCCTGCTTGGGTCCAAATGCCTGACTGTCCAGCACTTTGGAACATCCTCCGGACATGAAAGGCACAATAGAAATGTAATTTGTTGTTGTTGTTTGTGGGATTTGTGTAGATATCTCCAGTGAAGTAGCACAAATTTTGGATTGATGGCTGAATGTCCTCCTTCTGTGCTGTCATTTCTAATTCTATATTTAACAAAAACTGAATATGAGGCAGGATTTCACTGTTAATTCAACAGTAATTCTGCTCAACTGCAACAGGTCCTGTTATGTTCTGTAATGGGAAATGCTCTGTACTCGAGATATTTAATAGAAAGATTTGCTGTACTGTCCGTTTTAAAGCTATTGAGACAAGCCAGCAGTTGCAATGGCTGCCTAAGATAGCAGCTGGTGAAATGCCAAAATTTTCTTTATTTTCTGAAAATTTTGGTTGTAATAGGCAAACTACAAAACCCAGTCATGACACATTTTTTTTCAAAATAAATTTTACCATGTAACTTGAATACAATGGAAATAATCCCTCCACACCCTTGTCTGACTGCACCCAACTGCTGCAACCTATTACAATCCTACCTACCTGCTCAGATGCTAGCCTCGCCCTATGTACTTTCAGATATTCTGCTCCCACTCTCTGTAATCTCATTCCAGAATCTCTCTGACTCAACCATCCCTCCCCATATTTGAAGCCCTCCTCAAGACTTACCTCATTGACTGTGACTGTGTTTTCAGTCATCTTTCCTTCACCACTCTCTTCAGTTCCCTCCCCTCAACCCCCACAGATCAAGTGCCCAGCCAGAAATGCAAAGTGCTGTGAGACATCCTTTCCTTGTGACGTGAAAGAGATTACGTAAATCTAAATTGCATTGTAATGATATTGTAATCAATAATTTTTGAATATATATACCGAACCGTCTTGGGTGTGTTCGTTTTCCTTCAGATTTTACGGCTTTCACCTTATATCCTTATTTGTACAAGAAGTTAAATAAAATAATCAATATGATCAGGTTATAATAACAATACTTGCAGGTATAGTGCCTTTCACAGCACAAGAATGTCTCAAAACACTTCACACAAAATAGTTTAAAGTATTGTTTGTGGCAGACACCACAGCTAATTTGCACACAGTATTGTCCACAACAAGCATCCAGCCTTCATCTAATCCAGGGTGCTCCAACCTTTTGGTTGCTTAGTACCGGATGCCCTGTTTGAGAAACATTCACAGGCCGATAAGCAACATTTTTTTTTCCTTCCAGAAACATAACATTTACAGGTTATGGAGGGAGCAGATGAGGAGTCCAGTTGGACTTCTAATCAAAAAAACTAAACTTACCTAACACAACGATTCATATTCTAACTTATCCAAAATTCAGTTCTGATCACAACACCACCCAGGCCCCTATCAACTAACAAACTCAGCCTCACACTCCATCTCTGTAAAATGCTTTGAGGCATTCACCTACATGAAAGGCCCTAGATAAGTGTAATTTTTTGTGTTCCCAGCTTCTCTCTACACACGCTTTAGCCCTTCCAGAACTGGGCAGCCGATTTCCTATTCCGCACCAGGCTCTGAAAGTCTAGTGCCACTTCAAGTGTCAGCCTGGCTCAGTTGGCAGCCCTCTCTTCTCTGAGGCGTAAGATTGTAGGTTCAAGCCCTCTTCAGAACTTTGAATTCCTACAGTCTGGTCTGTTGCTCCAATGCAGCGTTGGGGTAGTGCTGCATTGCTGAGGTGCCGTCCTTTGGATGAAACATTAAACTGAGGCCCTGCCTGCCTGTTTAGGTGGACATTAAAGATCTCATGGCTCTATTCAAAAAAGAGAAGGGAGTTTCTCCTGATGACCTGGCCAACAATCCTCCAAATAAAATTCAATCTCCGTAAACCCACTTTTGCCAAAAATGACTATAACAGCTCAGCAGTGCCACTAGCAGGTGTGCTAAATACACTTTAATACAACTGTTATTAGTTAAACAATACCTGGGAAATAGCATCTGTGTCACATCCTCCACTTGAGTAACAATAGCAACAGGCAACAAAACACAATGCACAATTGTATCATTTGGGTGTTGATAAATATTTTCAGGTGTCAACAAATTTAAATATTGCTTTTTATTTAATACCAGCAACAAGTGAAAACTTAAACAACTGTAATCTATTGCGCTCACCAACTGCAACTAACTAAGCCAAACTAGCACCTTACCGGCGAGTACATTTTATACAAGGAGTACATTTTCTGTGGTGAGAGTAAAACACTTTCACCAAAAAGTGCCTGAGTGTCACACAATGAACTTACTGAAAATAGCAATCTTTTCATTGGTGTATTTATTATGGGAAATACAATTAGCAAACACAGTGAAATTATTTGTTTTTTTTATTGATCATCTTAACGTAAATCCCTCCTAATTGATCATCTCAAGAGAGAGCCAAACATCTCTGTATGAAAGGGAGACACCTAATCTGCCATATTCACTTTCACCACTGTCACTACTTAAAAATTTGTTGACCAGGCAATCTTTCATTTTCTTTTCCTCCCTGTGAGGAAACGCCTCATTCAGCATCCTCACTCTAATTGTAGCACAGATATGCTGAGAATTCATCACCCAGCGTATTTAGACATCAGACCGCAATGTATGCTCTTATTTTTTTCACATACTGACCCGGACGAAACCCTGACTCCGCTTGACTGGCACCGGCCTTCTGCTTGTCCCTCGCACCCTCTGCCCCACCATCCGAGGTCGCGGTTTCAGCCACTACACCCCAAAACTCTGGAACACTCTCCCTCAATCCCTCCGCCTTTCCCCTCTCTCCCCTTTTTCAAGTCCCGCTTGAAAACCTTTCTCTTCAATCGTGCTTACGGCCACCCCCCACCCACACCCCACCCCGCTCCCACCACCTGGTTCGGAGCCACTGTTAAGTGCTCTGAGATGCTACTCAGCATGGAGGGCACTATATAAATGCGAGTTGTTGTTGTTTTTCTTATCACATCAAAGTCTCAAAGTGCCTTATTAAACTAAGGTCCCACCTACTTGTTGTGATGGACATTAAAGATCCTGTGGCACAGTTCAAAAAGAAAAGGGAGTTTCTTCAGTCCAATAATCCTTCACATAAATTTGTAATTCATGTTATGTTGCAAAAGGTTGTTGTGTTTAAGCACTCCAAGATGGAACTTGGCAAGTAGGAACCCGTTTGTTAGTTGATTGGCAGATCACTTTCTGGAGGTAATAATCCCTCAAATAAAAATTCTCAATCCACGACTGTTTGTGGGACAATGCTGTGTGCAAGTGGCTGCTGCATTTCGCCCACAAAATGCAGTCAATTCACTTTACAATATATTCTGTGAAACGCTTTGAGACATCTCAATGAATTAATAAGGCACAATATCAAAAGCAAGGATTATTATTATTAAAGTGTTATGTGCAGTGATTGTTTTTGTAAGGAAATAATAATGATTTGCATTTATATAGCATCCTTCATGCAGGGTTGTGACTTGGGGCGCTTAAACACAACAACTTTTTGCACCATAAGGTGAATTACAAATTTATGTGAAGGATTATTGGACTGAAGACACTCCTTTCTTTTCTGAACAGTGCCACAGGATCTTTAATGTCCATCCCAACAGATAGCCGGGTCCTCAGTTTAATAATAATAATAATCCTTGCATTTGATATATCGCCTTAAAACTTCGAGACATCTCAAAGCACTTCAAATATACTGTAAAGTGAATTGACTGTATTTTCGTGGGTGAAATGTGGCAACCAATTACACACTGCAGTGTCCCACAAATAGTTGTGGATTGAGTGACCAAATTTTTAAAAAATTATTTTTGAAGGGATTATTACCCCCGGAAAAGCGATCTGCCAATTGACTAACAGCCAGGTTTCTACTTACTGCTAGGTGAACAGAGGCATGTGGAGTGGAGTAAGGAAACTTGCCTAAGGTTTCGCCCTGCCGGGAATCAAACCCAGGTCCTCTCGCTTGCGAGGCAAGCGCTCCAACCAATACGCTACAGGACTCTGCATATAATAGTAATAATAATAATCCTTGCATTTGATATAGAGCTTTTCACGTCTTCTCGACGTCTCAAAGCGCTTTACAGAATAGACTGTAAAGTTTGTAAAGACTGTATATTTGTGGGCGAAATGCGGCAGCCAATTGTGCACACATCTGAAGTGTGATATCTCATCTGAAGGATATCTCATCTGGTGCCTGAAATTAACCACTTGCACAATAGTCAAAGATTATTGTATCTTTGAATGCCATAGAAATGCTTCTCTGACCACAGATGTTCACTTCCACCTATTTGCAAATAAGTCAAATAAGAAGATGGCAAACTTTCCTGCAACTTACCCTTGTAAGTCTGTTAGCTTACACAGGGCACTTCAGCTACTTTGGGAGGTGAATTCTTTGTTTGTAAATACAGTGTCAATAATACAGAATCTACTTCCTAGTATCACTGCCAGATTGTCTCCCTGACCTGGTAGTGGTTTGCTGTATATAGTGCTACTGCTCAGTGCTCCCTGAATAAAGTGGCCTCTTATTGCGACTCAGCAGCATATAGGAGTCCTGCATATCTCACAGGACACAATCATACTAACCCTCCTGCAATACATGGCAGTGCTGAACAGGGGAATGGCATTAGGGGGGCAATGGTAAATAATGCCTCATATCGGCGCTGTTGCCCGCGATGACCAGGATTTAAGGTGCGGTTTCTATCTGGAAAATGAGTTTGTCTCGGTGTTTGCAGGTTTGTATTTACTTCATGTCCTCACAGGGAGAAGCGAATGAGAAGCCACTTCAGCACTGTGAGCAGCAGTGTGCCTACCTACATCCGAGCTTTGTCAACAGTGTCAGTGCTTATCCTTATGAGAGACACCGTTTGCGCCAGACATACAGAGTGAGACAGTGAGAGACAGTGTGTGTCAAACATATAGAGTGAGACAGTGAAACATAGAATACAGAGAGAGAATGAGACAGAAATAGAGAGAATGAGACAGTGAGAGACTAAAATACAGTGATAGAGAAAGTGAGAAACAAATAATGAAGCAGTGAGAGACACAATTTAGAAAGAGATGGTGAGAGACAGAAATAAACAGTGATAGAGATTGAGAATGAAATAGACAGTGAGACAGTGAGACAGAAACAGAGAGAATGAGACAGTGAGAGACAGATAAAGATAAACTTAGAGATAGTGAGAAACAGAAATAAAGAGACAGTGACAGACAGATATACAACAACAACAACAACATTACATTTGGAGGACGTCCCAAGGCGCTGGACAGTCAAGAGTTTTGGACCCGAGCTGGGGGTCGGGATCAGGGAGGGTGGAGGGCAGGGGAGGAAGGAGGCTGATCGAAAGCACAGTCAAAGAGAAGGGTCTTGAGATGAGTCTTGAAGGAGGTAAGGGAGGGGGTGAGGCAGAGGGACTGCGGGATGGAGTTCCAGAGGGTGGGTGCAGAGTGGCTGAAGACCATCTGACAATAGTAGGGCGGGCGAGGCGGGGGATGTGAAGCAGGCCAGAGCTCACTGAGCGGAGGGAGAGAGCAGGATGGTAGGGGGTTAGGAGGTCGGAGAGATAGGGGGGAGCAAGACCGTGGAGGGCTTTGATGATGAGGAACAGGATCTTGAACTGAATCCTCTGTGTGATGGGAAGTCAGGCGAGGATGAGAGTGATAGGGTCACAGCGTCTAGTGCAGAAGAGGACTTGAGCTGCCGAGTTCTGGATCATCTACAGCCTATGGAGGGAGGAGTTGGGGAGGCCGACAAGCAGGGAGTTTGCACAGTCGAGCCTCGTTGTAATGAATGTGTGTATGAGGGTCTCGGCGGCCTGCGGTGTGAGACAGTGGTGGAGCCGGGCGATGTTGCGGAGGTGGGAGAAGGCAAAGTGGGACAGGGCATGGATGTGGGGTAGAAAGGATAGACCCCGAGGTTCCAGACTGGCTTAGTAAGGTGGAGTGTGCAGCTTTGGATGGTAATGAGGCACCTGAGGTGTGGAGGGGCTGACTGGAGCCAATCAGGAGAGCCTCGGTCTCGTTGAAGTTAGCTCTCATCCAGGACTTCATGTCTGTCAGGACAGTAGTGGTTCTGGAGGCAGAGAAGTGCAGTTGGGTGTCATCCGCATACATGTGGAAGTTAACCCCATGTCTGCAGATAATGTCACCAAGAGGGAGCATATAGACATTGAAGAGGAGAGGATCAAGGACAGAGCTCTGACGAACGTCGCACAAGACGGTCTGGGGGCCAGAGGAGAAGTCGTTTGTGGAGATGAAACGGAGGCGATGTGAGAGGTACGATCTGAACCAGTCAAGAACAGAACTGGGAAGGTTGAGCTTGAGGAGAGGGGGTGGATAAGGATAGAGTGGTCAACGGTGTCAAAAACAGCAGAGAGGTCAAGGAGAACGAAGAGGCAGAGGGAGCCCTGGTTGCAAATGGACAGAATGTCATTTGTCACTATGACCAGGGCGGTTTCGGTGCTGTGGGTGGCACGGAAACCCAATTGGAGGGGTTAGTGAAGTGGCGGGAGAGGAAGCAGTGAAGCTGGGAATCAACAACTTGTTCCAGGACCCTAGAGAGGAAAGGGTGGTTGGAGATGGATCCAGGGAGGGATTTTGAGGGAAGTGATGATGGCCATTTTTATTGGGTTTGGAACAGTACCAGTGGACAGGGAGAAGTTTATGATGTCTGTGAGTAGAGGGGCAAGGAGCTGGAGCTGAAAACCGGGTTCACAAACACACTTTCATACATCCAGCTCCTGGAATCCACCACCTTTATTGGCTTGAGTGAGGTAAGCAGCTGCAGCTTAAGCTCTGAACCTCCAACTGAGGGAACCATCACTCACTGGAATGGGGAGTGTGTTTGAGTTGTGGGCAGGAAAATAGACGCAAAGCTCTTACGCAATTCATGCTGAATTGTGGTACCCACCAGGAAGTTGACAGGGAGTTCCTGATACCTACCATTCCCCCCTAGAGATGACTCTAATATGCACATGTTGGATGTGAAATGAACACGTGACTCTCCTCCTGAGAGGGTGGGGGAGGTGAGCAGAGTCTCTTTGGGACGAAGCTGGCTCTAAGGTGATATTGTTTACAGTGGAATTGAGTCAACCCTTTGTGGCTCTCTCTGTGGTTTGCCTCCTGAGGCAGGAGGGTCTGCAGTACACTAGGGAACTACTGATGAGAGGCCGGTCACCCTGGCTCAGGGTGGGGCTCCAGTTGGGTGGGTGGGGTGGAGGTGTCTGTGGTGGGGGGGATTCTTCCCACTTGGCTCCTGGTAACCCTACAAGCTAAAGACCTAACAGGTAGAATAGTTCCATCCTTATTAAATGTAACTCAACAACATCCTGTACAATACAATACAAAATTATATTTGTAAAGCACTTTTCACGTGGGGAGGACATCCCAAAGTGCTGAACAATCAGGGATTAGGACCCGAGTGGGGTGGGGGTGGGTGGGTTGGGATCGGCAGGCTGGAGGGCAGAAAGGGTTGGAAAGTGGCCAAAGGCACAGTCGAAGAGGAGGGTCTTGAGGCGTGGTTTGAAGGAGGCAAGGGACGGAGCGAGGCGAAGGGAATGTGGGATGGAGTTCCAGAGGGTGGGGCACAGAGGCGAAGGCCCTATTGCCGATGGTCGGGCTGGCCGTGGGACACAGAGCAGACCAGAGCCTGCTGAGAAGAGAGCATGGACAAGTTGATAAGGGGTTAGCAGGTCGGAGAGGTAAGAGGGGCAAGGTTGTGGAGGGCCCTGAAAGTGAGGACGAGAATTTTGAACTCAATCCTCTGAGGGATGGAGAGCGAGTGGAGCCGGCCGAGGGTGGGTGTGATTGGGTCACAGAGGCTGGTGCGGGAGAGGACACGAGCTGCGAAATTCTGGATATTCTGCAGCTTTTGTGGAGGGAAGAGTTGGGAAGACCGACAAACAGGGTGTAGTCATAGTCGAGCCTGGCTGTAAACCTATATCATGACCTGCAGCAGCTTCGCTATCAGTGACGTGAGACACACCAACCTATAGTTCCTGGGATCTTCCCTTTTCCCTTAAACAATGTAGGGACATTTGCCACTCTCTAGTCTTCTGGGCTAACTCCTGTTTCAATAGATTTCTAGAAAATGATAGACAGGACATCTGTTATTTCATCATTGACAAGTTCCTCATGTTTTCCCTATATAGAGGCTTATATTGTGGTATTTTATGTTTGACCCTATCGAAGGGGGAGGAGTAAGTTGCAATTATTTTTGTGAAATTTTAGCATATTTCTCACACATTTTTGTGCCAGTGTGAAGGATGGCTGGAACATCTATGACACGTCTTGCTCATTGGAGCTGAAGCAAACTAACGTCTCTCATTTCATGCATCATGCACTTTGGAGCTGCTCCACATTTCAATCCTGGCTTGTGTGGTCATCCCACTTTTATTTATATGCTGCTCATGGTATGTTATTGCCATCATCCTCTGTGTACTCCTGTATATTTGATGGGTTTCTAGAAGTATTTCAACATACTGTAGTTAAGTAAGAAATAATAACCATGCTTGCCTGCCATTCTATGCAAGTTATGTTTTGAGTCTGTTTTGCAGCTGTTGAGCACTTATACTATGTTGTGTATTTGTTTGTATTTTTTAAAATGATCGTTCCCTGCTTTTTATTGGTGTGTGGTGGGCAACAGAAATGTCAGGTTTCCAAAAACTGGAAGCAGCATTGAATAGATTCTGGGTTAGATGAGGGTCTGTATGTGAGTACTATTTGAGCTCATATTTTTTCTTCCTTCAGAATAACTCCAGCTGCCTCATCGATGTTGTGTGTTGGTTTGAAAGAAAATAGGTTGTCTGTCAATTTAAAACTAGGAAATATTAGTTTAAACTAGACATCAATGCTATTTATTTATATGTGGATAAGACAAATTATTAATATTTATTCATAAGAGAAATATTTTTCTAATAACCACTAGACCATCATTAGCTCACAATGTATGGCAAACAAGCTAGTCCGCCTGCTTGCAGTGAATAAGAATTCAGTGAGGTACCACACAAAGAATATATTATGACTTCTGTTTCTAAATGGGCATAAACAAATTAACATTTATAAAGCAGAGTTAGGTGACATCAAACTATTTTGATGTAAAGTGGTTTTCCTGCATTCTCTTTCTCTCCCTTCCTCCCCACTCAAAAAAAATGGTTCTTTCTCTTTGACAGCATTGATTTAACCTGAGGTATTGTTCCACAGACAACCTTACAGCATTCTTTCCCCAAAAGCCCATCCTTCATGAACTTAATCAGTGAGTATTGAAAAGTATTTTCAGGCATTGCAAAGAGGCATCACACCTTAACTGAATCCTGTTCTCATATGACAACCATATGTCATGTACATATTTTCCACTAGAAATTCCCCAAATAATGATCGGTAGCAGGAATCCTGGCTGATATTCTTACCTTCCGACATCTAGGTTTCTTAACGCCAGATTCAAGTATTCATTTTCAACCTGTCTTTGCTGTTGCAGATCTTTATCAATGATAGTTTAAAGTGGCAGTTTCACACCCAGACTTCCCCTTATGCTACTAGAGCAGTTGTGAGTTTGATTGGACCATTTTAAACCCAGTAAGTGATGACTGTCATCTGTTCCTATTTCATATTCTGTGAATCCGTATCTCTGTCACTAACTACTAGTGACTATTCTCCTTGGGTGGTGGTGGGGTGGGGGGTGGGGGCTGGAGGAGGTAATTGGGATCTCCTTGGAGCTGAACTGGCTCCAAGGTGACATGTTTGGCAATGGAATATCGGAATCGAGCTGCCCTCTGTGACGGTCTCTAGTCCGATTCCTGAGCCAGGCGGGTCTGCAATATTCCAGGGCTCGGCTGATGATATCACCACAAAGCTGGCTCATCGGCAGGACCTGGAAGGGTAGACCAGTCACTGGGGATAGGGAGTCATCCCACTCAGCTCCTGCTAACCCTGCAAAAGCGAGAAACCTTGCCAGACAATGATATCACTGGCAAGCTTTGCGGTTTTACCTGATTAGACTCCAGCAGTACAGCAATACACACTCTGGGATCCCAAAGCCGTAGCTCTTGCCAAACTGCTCCTAATCCATTCCAGAATTAGGTAAGCAGGATGTGTTCCTCCTGCATTCCATTCCAACAGTTTATCTCTGGGTTTTCCATGTGTCGGTGGGATGCATGGAATTCTCAGTTTAGTTTGGATGCCCTTAAGCATGGTGATGGGTTTCTGCATGTGTCAGGCAAATGTCAGGCCAAAAAACTCTTGCGGTGAAGTGCTCATTATTAACTGTTGAAAGTGCTGCCAAAACTATGCAAATTGAACATTTTTATAATTTTCACTAATATTAAATAACAATATTCCTTTTAAAATTAATTTCTTAGATTTCAGCAATGGATCCCATGGTTGCTGCCAATGTCAACTTTACTCTTGAGCTGTTCAAAAAGCTAAATGGAAACAAAAACGGGAATGTTTTCTTTTCTCCATTGAGTGTTTCAGCTGCTCTGGGCATGGTGTATCTCGGTGCTAAAGGCAATACTGCAACTCAAATGGGCAGGGTAGGTAAAGAATTAATTATTTCTTTAAAATGTTCATTGTCAAGATTATTGATCTGGTTGTTCATGTGGATGTAAAATCTCATTCGAAAAGAGAAGAGTTTCTCCCAGTGTTCTGGCCACCATCCTCCAGATTAATTGATTGTTCATCTCATGGCTGTTTGTGGGAACTTGCTGGCTCATATAACTGCCATTATACATACACTGTAAACAGAAAAAGAAGTATATATAGTTAAAAGTAACAGGTTAATTTTGTTGCATTGCACAATCTGATAATTTAGCACATTACAAAACTGCAAGTTTAACCCCAAGATATCGGAACAAATTTAACAAACATTTTGAATTCCAGTAAATACAGTAGAGCACTAAAAATGAGTTCGCGATTTAAGAAAAATAAATGGAAATGTTTAACTTTTTTTTAAACTTCTTCAGGTGCTTCATTTCAGTGAAACTGACGACATCCATTGCGGATTCCAGGCACTACAAGATGCCTTTAATAAACCTAACTCAACCTATCTCCTGACTGTAGCAAATCAGCTCTATGTAGACAAGACATACAATCTTCTCCCTGTAAGTCATAAGTGAAAAGTGCATAACATATTGGAATTGGATAAAAATGATACTCTAGGAAACCTCTTTTGACTATTATAGTCCTGAAGAATATTCATGGTTGTTCTGATAAAAAAAACAAATTGGTTTACTTTAGTCCCTCTGTGCTAGCTTTAAAAAAAAGTGGGTAGATTGCAATACAATACAAATTTTACATTTGTATAGCATTTTCATGTCGGGAGGACGTCCCAAGGCGCTAGACAGTGAAGGATTTGGACCCGAGCGGGGTGTCGGGATTGGGGAGGGTGGAGCGCAAGGTGGGTAGGAGGGTAGCCGAAGGCTAGTTCGAAAAGAAATGCTTTGAGACACGAGGAGAGAGCTGTTGGCAAATACTGAGATTAAATAATTGACTGTCTGTAAACGGGAAGTTGCACAATTACTCACTCTATCTTTAAGCCTAATATTATACTCGTAGATCTTATGACTGGCCAGCAAGATCCAGCTCATTCAAAACTCTGCTACCCATATACTGACCCGTCACTCTCTGGCACCTCCCTCCCTCTCCAACCTCCTCACTCCCTAATCCACCACCTCTACTGCCACTACTTCCCAAAACTCTGGAACACTCTCCCTCAATCCCTCCGCCTTGCCCCCTTTCTCCCCTTTTTCAAGTCCCGTTTGAAGACCTTCCTCTTCAACTGTGCTTCCACCCCCCCCACCCCCCCCCCAGCTCGGAGTCAGGCTCCACCACTATGAAGCGCTCTGAAACAGTACCTTGCGTGGAGGGCGCTGTATAAGTGCAAGTTGTTGTTTCTAACCCTGCAACCCAAGTCTGAGAAAGATTTATAGATTACTGGGAGNAAAAAAATAGATGTATTTTACACAGAAACTTGTTGAATATGAAATCTGAAGCAAATCTGAATATGAAGCAAAAGGGCACAAGCAGTGTATCGGGACTGCAGAATGTGGGAATTAGTGGACAGTGAGACTGACCCGGATGATCACATCTGTGGGAAATGCCTAAGTCTTGAGTCACTCCAGTTCAATCTTTGAGCTGCAGTGCGAGCTAGAGACACTGCGACACATAAGGGAAGCGCAGAAATATCTGGATAGTTTACTCCAGAACACAGTCACCTCACAGAGAGAGAGAGAGAGAGAGAGAGAGACAGGTTCAGGAAAAGGGGTGTGTGACTGACAGTCAGCAGGGTAGGGGCAACCTAATGGAGGCAGGGATGGTGGAACCACTGGAACTAGTCCTGACCAACACCTGTACAATACCCTTGCTCTCTGTGGGGATAAGGAAGAAGGCTGCAGGGAGAATGGCCAGAATGCTAACCAAGTCTCCGTGGAGCAGCAAGCAGTTCAAGTGGGGTGTACGAGCAGAATCAAAATGTTGTAGTTATAGGGGATTTGATAATTAAGGGGATAGATGGTATCCTCTGCAGTCGCGATCGAGAGTCCAGGAGGATATGTTGCCAGGGTAAGGGAAATTTCAAAGCAGCAATAACAACAACAAAATTACATTTGTATAACGATTTTCACGTCGCGAGGATGACCCAAGGTGCTGGACAGTCAGTGTTTCGGACCCAAGCTGGGGGTCAGGATCAGGGAGGATGGAGGGTAGGGATGGGGGAAGAGGGTGATCGAAAGCATGGTCGAAGAGGAGGATCTTGAAGGAGGCAAGGGAGAGGGAAGGCGGAGGGATTGTGGGATGGAGTTCCAGAGGGTGGGGGTAGAGTGGCTGAAGGCCCGCCCACCCACCAATGGTGGAGCAGATGAGGCAGGGGACTGGACATCGTTCCAAAGCTGGAAGGAACTTGGAAAGTACTTAAGTACTTAATCAATTTAATATAAATTAAAAAGTGGTAATGGAGAAAATAATGGGACTAAAGGTAGACAAATCTCCAGGATCTGATGGATTCCACCCCAGGTATTGAAAGAAATAGGTGAGGAAATTATAGATGCATTAGTCATAATTTTCCAAAGCTTGTTATATTCGGGAATTGTGCCCTTAAATTGGAAAATAGCAAATGTCACTCCTTTACTAAAAGGAAGAGAAGGAGGGAGAAACCAGATAACTACAGACCTGTCAGCTTAACTTCAGTTGTGGGGAAGTTATTGAAATCTCTTATCAGGGACAGAGTGACTGAGCACTTGGACAAGTATGAACTAGACAAAGAGAGTCAGCATGGATTTGTGAAGGTTAGGTCAAGTCTGACGAATCTAATTGAATTTTTTCAGGAGGTTGTTAATATGGTGGATAAGAGAATGTCTATGGATGTCATCTGCATGGACTTTCAGAGGGGATTTGATAAGATTCCTTACAAGAGATTATTAGCAAAAATGAAAGCACATGGAATTGGAGGTAACCTTGCGACGTGGCTTGGGAATTGATTGGGAGGCAGAAAACAGAGAGTAGGGATAAAAGGAATGTTCTCTGACTGGTGGGACGTGGCAAGGGGTCTGTTTGGGAACATCAACTCTTCACCATGTGTACGTACATACATACATACCTACCTAGCCACTGGAACTCCATCCCACAATCCCTCCGCCTGCCCTCTCCCTTGCCTCCTTCAAGACCTTCCTCTTCGACCGTACTTTCGATCACCCTCCTTCCCCATCTCTACCCTCCACTCTCCCTGATCCCATTTGCTATTTTCCAATCTAAGTGCACAATACATACCTACATACACACATTACTTGGACAAATGGATAGTTTTAAGACTTTGTGTCTGCAAATTTGAAGACAACACAAAGTTAAGAGGCACAGTAAGTTTTGTAAATGGGAGCAGGAAGTTACAAAGTTACTTAGACAATTAAGTGAGTGGCCAATACTGTGTCAGATGGAATTCAATGTGGGGAAGTGTGAGGTCAACCACCATGGATCCAAAAAGACAAAGCAGAATATTTTCTTAATGGGGAGAAACTAAGAACTGTGCAGGACCAAAGGGTTTTGGGTGTCCATACACACACACATCAATTAGAAAAAGTAGTCAAAAAGCCTAATGGAATGCTGGCCTTTATCTCAAGGGGACTGGAATATAAAGGAGAGGAATTGATGCTTCAGCTGTATAGAGCCTTGGTCAAATCCCACTTGGAGTACTGCGTCCAGTTTTGGGCACCGCACCTCAGGAAAGATATATTTGACCTGGAGGGGTTGCAATGCAGATTCACCAAAATGTTTCAAGGGCTTAAATGGTTAAATTACGAGGACAGGTTGCATAAACTTGGTCTGTATTCCCTTGAGTTTAGAAGGTTAAGGGGTGATCTGAATGAAGTATTTAAATGATAAAAAGTATTCAATAGGGTAGCTAGAGAGAAACGATTTCCTCTGGTGTGGGAAATAACAAGGGCGTATATCTTAAAATTAGAGCTAGGCCATTTAAGAATGAAACCAGGAAGAATGTTTTTCACACAAAGGATAGTAGAAATCTGGAATTCTCTTCCCTGAAAAGGCTGTGGATGTCATTTGTCCATTCAAATTTTCAAGGCTGAGGTGTATTTTTTAGGTAAGGTTATCAAGAGATATGGGGCAAAGGCAGGTATTTGGAGTTGAGGAAAAGACCAGCCATGATCTAATAGAATGGCGGAACAGGCTTGAGGGGCTGAATGGCCTACTCCTGTTGCTATGTTCTTATGTTGAACCTCAGCGTATAACAGAATCTAAAATAGAATTGGATAAATACTTAGGCAAAATATTAAAAGTAATGAGAAAAGAGCAGAGGAATGAGATGAGAGTAGATTGCTCCAGTGGGAGACCAGAACAGAACCTCCTTCTGTGCCATATACATTCTATGAGTTTAATCATTCGTAATTAATAATCATTCATAATCTAATCATACCATGCTTCTTCAGTCACCTTTCCGGGTTAGCAAGCAGAACTGTCAAGTACCTTGGGCAATCCTCCCAAAGTGAAAGGCACTAAATAGATATAAATTTGTATTGTGCTGTACTTGAGTGTAATGATGCACTACACTTGGATATTCAAAGTAAAAAGACTTATTGTGACTTGTAGTACCCCAAATGTAAATTGTGTACTTAAATCCAGATGTTTCTGGGATACTTAACCTAATACTGTGAGAAATTTGTAAAAAGAGGAAGTGGACCAACCATGTGCCCTACATTGATAAAGCGTTGGTTCCTTTTATTCCTGCAAACCAAGACGAGAAAAGTTTCTGGAGCCATCACTGCCATTACATTTAAGATAATTCAGAATTTTTAAAAATTCTTGAGAACAGCCTTAAATTTGGAAGCCATTTTTCCACTTCTTTTCCCTGTATCTCAGTGTTTAGATTTTGTGCTTGGATTTGCTAGGAATTTGTTGCTTCCATCCGGAAATTATACCAGACTGACCTGGAACCTGTTGATTTCATCAAAGCAACAGAAGAAGCCAGAAAGCAGATCAACTCTTGGATAGAGACAAAGACAAATGGTAAGGGGTGATGAAGAAGAGGCCCACTAAATCTTCCCTGTCTCGCATGAGTTTATAAAGATCAGGAATATCTCCGATTGGATTTCTAGTCTGCAAAGAGTTATCTGATTTCAGCCAATGTGGCAAGAAAATTGGTCTGAGTGCCTGGTACAGTAGGAAAGGAAATCAGGAGCTTCCTCCTACTGATCTACAACCAGTGACCACTGCTTGATGTATAGATGTCAAGTGAGGACAGCTGTGATGTGATGACTTGTTATTTAGGGAGTTGATGTTCATTGTCTGACCTGATGCACGAGGGATGACAACTTAAATGCACTAGAGACTAATGCCCCAGAGAGAGTCGCTGTTTTCAGAGGTGGGAGCAGGGAGGATGGAATTAATTACTTTAAGTGGTATCTTAAATATTGCTTCATAGGAAAATAACATTTATATTTCTCTAATTTCCTTCAGGGAAGATACAGAACTTGTTGGATGAAGGTAGCATTGATGACCTCACAAGACTTGTTCTAGTGAATGCAATCTACTTTAAAGGAAACTGGATGACACAATTTCAGAAGGCAAATACAATAGAACGACCATTCAGAATCACCCAGGTAATGAGGGCAACAGAAAAATTGTCAAGAAGTTCAACCACTTACTGCTAGCTGTATTCTTCTAATCTTTCTGCAATTTTGTGAATAAAAGGTATTAGAAATCTGCTAATTTTGCTCTTACCTATTCACAGAATGAAACTAAGCCTATGCAAATGATGCACTGCAGAAAACGGTTTAACATCACTTGTATTAAAGAGATTCAATGCAAAATTCTCGAACTTCCTTATATGAACAATGAGCTAAGTATGATCGTCCTGCTGCCTGAAGATATAAGAGATAACTCTACTGGACTAGAACAGGTACTTTAAGGCCCCTCGTACCAGAGATAGACAGAATTTGTTACTTCAAAGCATCTCGGGTCTCAAACCACTTCAATTACTGTGAATAACAATTTGCACATGAATGGCTCCTTTCATGTGGTACAAACATCTCAAAGTGCATAACCGCTTTATCAGGGAGCATTGAGCAATGAAAGTGTGATGACTGTGGCGGGTGCATCTATGGGTGGTTGTGCTTTCCCGCTGGTAAGCAGTTGCTTTCTCAGGCGACTGTTTAAAATGAATACATTTAATCAAACAAATAGAAAATACGGTAGATGAACCTTTTAAAACTAGGCTCTAGATATTTGGGAATAAGATGACCGTGTCATTGTATTTTTTCTACAGCTTGAAAAAGGACTCACGCTTGACACACTGATGGACTGGACCAGTCCGGAGAGGATGCATATGGTGGAAGTTGCAGTAGCTCTGCCAAAATTCAAGCTTGAGGATCAATTTGACCTTGAATCGACCCTCAGTGATATGGGAATGAGAGATGCCTTTGATGACACACTAGCCGATTTCTCTGGAATGACAGAAAAGAATGATTTGGTTTTATCAAAAGTTGTTCACAAAGCCTACGTAGAAATTAATGAGGAGGGAACTGAAGCAGCAGCTGCCACAGCTGTTGTAACACGTACAAAACGATTTACAACAGTCAGTACATTTGAGGCCGATCATCCATTTTTCTTTTTCATCAGGCACAATAAGACCCATACTATTCTGTTCTTCGGACGATTCTGTTCTCCCTAAGCTAGCCCAGCCTCTGCAAATGTAAATGTGTGTCATTCAATATTAAACCATCAGCAAAACACTTAGTAGCAAATGAAATGTCAAAGACCTGAATTGGTAGCTGTATCTTACCTGGGAGACTGTGGCTTTGACGTGCACAGTATGTTTGTTCCTTATAATACTTTACCCCCTTTCTCCAATTTTCCCTCCTCTCCTACAATTTCATTTCCTCTTTTGAAGGGACTCAGTTTTGCAGGTCTCCAGTTCCCTGGACTTGCTGCCTCTATTATCTTACCAATTGGCCATTCTGAGCCAAGCCAGGGGGTGTCAGTCGACTATTTGATGGGGGTGGGTAGGATAACCTAAGCCTGTTGTTACCTGGATTCCACGCTTAGTCCAATGGTCTTATAGGAGTATGGAGTATGTCCACTTGTACTGGGGTGAAGACCAATGAATCAATCTTTATTGATCAATTATCTCTCATTTGCCGGAAACAAATGTTTTTGTTCCCTCATTCCCCAGATGTTCCTCAATTAATTCTCCAGTATTTCAATAATTTATCTCAGTACTAGTAATACAGCTTATCGAAAGATTGGGCAGGTTGAGCATGGAGATAAGGTGATTAAGAGGGGTCCTGATAGAGGTGCTTTTAGGTGACAGACTGGCACCATTGGTAGCATATTTGCTTCTGAACCAGAAGGTTGTGGGTTCTACGTCAGGACTTTAAACTCATACAGTTTAGGTCCTTCATATGAAATGCTAAATCAATGTACTGTCTGCTTCTTCAGTTGGATCTTAAAGGCCCATGGCATTATTCGAAGGAGAAGGGAGTTTCCTGGTCAACAATTCCCCCAAAATAAAATTGGTCATTCACTACATGCCTGCATGTGGGACATTACTCTGCCCAATTGGCTGCCTTGTTTACCAGCAAAATACACAGTCACTACATTTTATTGTATAACCCTGTGAAGCACTTTGATATGTCTTGATAATGTGACAAAGTGCTATATCGAATGCAAATATTATTATTATAAAATAATGAACTGAATCAAAAAGGTTAATGGGCGGTTTCCACTTTTTAGTGAGTCCAAAACAAATATAAATATAAGGTAGCTAACAGCAGATCTAAAACGCAGTTCAAGAAGAACTTCTTTACACAGAGAATGTGGAACGCATTGCCAGAAGCTGTGATTGAACCAGAAAACATCAATGCTATCAAGAGGAAACATGATGCAAATGTGAGGAAGAAGGGAATAGAGGGATATGTTAGAGGTGCTTAAGAAAAGTGGAGACTTATGTGGCATGGAATAGTTGAGCTAAATGGCCTATTTCCGTCCTGGACCGATATTGCTGTCCTCGCCAGGCTCCATTGGCTCCCTGATGCAGAATAGATCCATTTCAAATCCTCATACTCACATATAAATACTTTCATGCCCTAGCACCTCCCTACCTCATCAAGCTACTAACATCCCACTCCTCTACCCTCCCCCATCCTCAGTGGCTCAAGCTTTCCTCATCCCTACTGGTCCACCATCGGCATCCATGCCTTTACTATGCCCCAAAACTTTGAAATTCTCTGCCTCAATCCTTCTGTCTTGCCTTCTCTTTGCCCATCTTCAGATCGCATCTGAAAACTCACCTTTTTTCCTGAGTAGGCTTCCAACTACACCAGAGCTTAGCACTCCCAAGACACTGCCCAACGTGAAGAACACTGTATCAATTAAAGCAATTGGCTGTCTCATTTTGCCTACAAAATATACAGTCAATTCACTTGACAACAACAACAAGATTGCATTTATAGAGCACCTTTCAGGTCGGGAGGACGTCCTTGACAGTATATTCTTTGAAGTGCTTTGAGATATCTCAACAACGTGATAAGGTGCTGTATCAAATGCAAGGATTATTATTGCAAGGATTATTATTAATGTTATTATACATCGCCACCAACTGGCGGAATGGCAGAATTACATCACCAGTAAACCCAGCGTCACCTAGCGATTGGCCTACAACATTACAACAGTATTTTCCTGACTGCAGAGGGATTTTTTTTGATCAGTGGGGTGTCTGGCACAAGTGGAAACCCAACACCATGCTTAAGAGTATCCAAACCAAGCTGAGATTTCCGTGCATCTCACCTACACATGGTAATCCCAGAGATAGATTGTTGCAATGGTATACACAATCTCCCTGGAGGGACACATCCTGCTTACCTAATTCCGTAAAGTATTGATAATAATATAATAATAATAATCCTTGCATTTGATATAGCACCTTAACACGTCTTCGAGACGCCTCAAACCGCTTCACAGAATATACTGTAAAGTGAATTGACTATATTGTGTGCGCGAAACCCGGCAACCGATTGCGCACAGGGGTGTCCCACAAACTCTTGTGGATTGAGTGACCAATATTTTTTTGAAGGAATTATTATCCCCAGAAAAGCAATCCACCAATCGATTAACAACCATGTTCCTCCTTACTGCTAGGTAGAGAGGTAAGGAAACTTGTGCAATGTTTCGTCCTGCCGGGAATCAAACCCAGGTCTCTCGCTTGCGAGGCGAGTGTTCTAACTACTGAGCTACAGAAGCCCACTCAGGCGTAGGTTGGCAAGAGCATGCGTTGGGATACTGTTGGAGTCTAACCAACCAAGTCTAGCTTGCTGTTGATATCGCTGTCTGGGAAGCTTTCCCACTGCTTGTCCATCTAGGACCTCCCTACCCATTAGGGCTTTGGCTTACAAAGTTGACAGGAGCTGAGTGTGATGACTCCCTGCCCCCAGTGACTGGTCTGCCCTTCCAGGTCCAGCTGATGAGCCCGGCTGTCTGAGTTGTCATCAGCAGGGCCCTGCTCAGATCCGACATTTGTTTTCCAGACATGTCACCTGGGAGCCAGTTCAGCTTTATTATTTACACAATAAAAATGATAATAAAGCTAATGACAATGTCATTGGTAGTCCATCTGCTACCGCCCCTGGGGAAAAAAAATCTCCTCCCCCTCCCTCTTCGCTGCTCTGGAGCCATCTGAACTCCTCCCACTCTGGGCTTCTGCCCGCAATGAAGTATCCTCCTTGGTCACTCTCCTCCACAAGATGCTCTTGCTACCCTCACATCCCGAACCGTCTCCTACTCACGAAAGTCATCATGATACACCAGCCACCTCTGCTCCCTTAAAGCACAGGTGTGTGCCACTGAATCCACCTGGCTTAAATTCAACTTAACGGTCCATCGGCAGATCTGGCTGCACGTTATTAAATCCTACCATTACACCTTCACCTCCGCTAAATCATTGTTCTACTCCATGACAATCTTGGAGGCCAAGGATAACCCCGGGTTCCTCTTCTCCATCATCAACCGGCTCCTCCACCCACCCTCTCACACCTCCCCCATCTTCTCCAACGCCAAATTCGAGGGGATCCGCTCAGCTGCCTCTGCCTTTCCGTCTGCCACCCCCTCCCCATCTTCCCATCCTCGAACCTGTCTCCCACTCCTCTTTCACCACCACTATAACCTACATGAAACTGACCACCTGCTTAGGTCCACACCTCAGGCTCTGACAGCATCACCATCCATGGTTGCACACTCCACCTTACTAAGCCAGTCCGGAACCTTGGCGTCTTGTTTTGACCCTCAGGAATCCTTTCTACCCCACATCCGTGCCATGACCCACTCTGCCTTCCCCCACCTCTCCCTTCCCCCACCACCGGTTCCATCACTATCTCACACCACAGGCCTCCGAAACCCTCATACACGCATTCATAACATCCAGGCTCGACTACGCAAATTCCCTGCTTGTCGGCCTCCCCAACTCCTCTCTCCATAGGCTGCAGATCATCCAGACCTCTGCAGCCCATGTCTTCTCCCGCACCAGGCTCCGTGACCCTATCATCCCCATTTTCGCCCGACTCCACTGGCTTCCCATCACACAGAAGATACAGTTCAAGATCCTGGTCCTCACCTTCAAAGCCTTCTGTGGTCTTGCTCCCCCCTACCTCTGCGACCTCCTAACCCCCTAGCATCCTGCCCGCTCCCTCCACTCAGTGGGTTCCAGTCTATTTTACGTCCCCCGCCTCGCTCACCCATCATTGGCGGGCGGGTATTCTATCCCCACACTCTGGAACTTCATCCCACAGTCCCTCTGCCGCGCCCTCTCCCTTGCAACCTTCAAGACCCATCTCAAGACCCTCCTCTTCGACCATGCTTTCTTCCCCCATCATTCTCGTTCCCGCCCTGTCCTCCACCTTCCCCAATCCCAACCCCCAGCTCGCGTCCGAAACTCTGACTGTCCAACGCCTTGGGATGCCCTCCCAACGTGAAAGGCACTTTACAAATGTAATTTTGTTGTTGTTGTTGTTGTTGTTGCTGTGCTCGCCAAGCAGTCACTGTTTACAGAATTTTAGGCAAATTTTACAGAATATTATTTGATAATTAAAGACATTGTATGATTATTACTTATTAATCAATAAATCGTGGCAAGGAATCCCAGCACCTGGGACGTCTTTCCGACGTGAAGGGCGCGATACAAGTGTAATTTGTTGTCGTTTTTGGATTCCTGCTTTCATATTGTTTCAATCATCCTAAGGTATGAAACAAACACACGAAGGATCGCTTCATCTGTAGAAACCTGTGTTCAATGCTTCTGGATGTGGGATAAAAAATGTGGGATGTGCCCCTTTGAGTTCAGTCACCACCAGTGACAATTCCTTAAACAATTGCCCTGATCCTTACTATCAGGAGGAAAGCATCAAAGGACAGGCGACCTGATGGCGCTATTACAAAATTGAAACACAGTGACACACACCTACAGGCCGATTGTCGCCATTACAGGCGGTCCTCACAGCGCCGCCCAGTGGTGGATTTACTTTTTTACAGGTTCAGCGCCTCTCACTGGCGGAGTGACTAAACTACATCCCAGGTGGTGCTGTTTTGGGTCTGCTGAGCGTCTGCTATGTGCAGAAGTCTATCTCCAAACCAGACTGACATGTTCCAATGCCATGAAAATTTCCCTGTGACTGGAATGGAATAGCCTGTCATGAGAATCCTGTAGCTCAGTGGTGAGAACGCTCGCCTCGCAAGTGAGAGACCT